GTTTTTATGATTAACACGTAAGTACCAATGTATACTTGCTTCAAGAGTTTTGCGACTTCAAAAAAAATTGCACATAGTATTTTAAAAATAAAAAAATATATACAATAATACAAGCACTTAATTTTACATCTACTGTAAAAGTAGTAATTACATATTCTTTTTGTAAAATTTCTAAAAAATAATTAAAACCAATAAAAAAAAAAAGAATAATTCTTCATATGAGTAAGATTTCAGGTAAAATTATAAAAAAAATTGCTAAAACAAAGTTTTTAATAAAAATAATAATGAATAGTAATCATTGTATTACAACATAAGTGTAGATATTTTCATCACATCGACAAACTTACTACCACTGCAAAAAAATTGACCATTGATGTCATTTAACTTAAATTTGGCGATATGATATTTAAAACTAGGAAAAAATAATGAACTTTTTATTTTCAAATAAATAAAATCAGTAAGAGCTATAAATTTAATGCCAGATCTTGATAGATGAGAATTTTTCTCCTTTTAGTACAAAATTAACTAGTTCTTAAAATAAATTATTAAATAGCTTATTTTATAATAAAAAGTATTTACTGATTGTGAACACTTCATAATTAAATAAAAATAAATAAAATGGTGGATGCGCCGGATGAGTTCTCTCCAATCTAATAATAATAAGATCGGGTCGACTAATGCATATTTACGGTGTCGTCCCGGTGCGATATTAGCAACCCCTTGATCCCGCTAAATGCCCCATTTCTCGCATCCCCGTCCCCCGCAATTCCGTCATCTCTGTCGTTCCAATAACGCGCAATTTGTCACATAATATCACTCCGTTCTCTTTCTCCTATCGTGTAAAGCCCCCGTTCTTAAGCCGATAAGACATACAAGAAATGTTCCCATCCTCGTCGCACCCTCGCGACTTAATCCTTCTCCATTCTAATCCCCGCTTAAAAGCTCTTTTGTTTCGTTTTAACCCTTTTGTTCTCGGAGGATAACCTTTCGAGCTGAAGCACGTTGCGTTAGAACGCTGCCACTATCCCTGATATATTTGCGTGCAAGTTGGCGGTGGCGGTTTCTGTCAGCGGCGTTCTCCGGAGGCGACGACGTCGGTGACGGCGTGTCCGTCGAAATCAACGATGTGTTTCGATGCTTTGAACTTATATTGTGAACACTTAAAATGTCAGATGACAATACTCAATGGGGTGACTATTGAAATCGTGAAGATTTCAGCCGTGATGGCGAGGAATTTGGATTTTTTAAGTTGGCGGACGTGGATGATGGTTGAGAGGTTTTTTGTGTAGGAAAATGCGAGTTTCAGGTGTTTACTACACAACTCGGAGCAACTTTGTTCCGACGATTAGATTTCAGGAAGAGTTGGAGATTTGCTGTTTGCACTATGCTTGATTAATCTTCGACGAGTTAATTTAGAGGTAAGTAACAAAGTGGCACATTTAAAAAGAAAGAAAACACAAAAATAATTTAAATTAGTTTATTTTTCCGAATAATGGAGTTTTGTCACTCATCTGTTAACTCTTTCAGGGACGGTGGGTTAAAATTTAACCCACCTTTTTAACTCATGTTAATTTATATTTTTGAGCAGTTTTGCTCATTAATGGTAATGTTTTTAATAATACAGACATTATTCTTGTAGAGTTTACCACATTTTTTATTTACAATCAATGAACTTAAAATTAGAATACTATACAATTTATTAAATAAAAATTAACCTGTTTCAAAGTTTCCTAATTTTTGTTTATTTTAATATATGTGGTGGCTTGTTTTAAAAAAAAATCACTCTGTATATAAATTACTTACCTTTAATCAAAATAATTATAAACAAATCGCAAAAACTTTAACTTTTTAATTACATTACAGTGGATTATTGGGATACCAGTTTTTATCAAATCGGCAATCTAGCTATCTAGTAGGCCAAAATTTTTTTTAAAGAAAAAAGAACGATTAAAAATGTATCCTATTGTATCTGCTTTCACACAATAAAGACAAACAATAAAAATTACAAATTTTAATCATTGTTTTATTGTTAAACACATTACAGGGTGTTTCAGAACTCGTACCCCAGAAAAAATTTCAATACTAGGAACATGAAAAAAATGTTTAAAAAATTCTATCTGTCAAAAAATTTTGACACATTTATTGACATTTGACATTTTTTATGACTATTTGATGTTACTGAGCAAGCATTCAAAACAAAATTACAAAAATACAATAAAAACACAATAAAACCGCACAATTGCCACCAACAAATAAAATTAAAATGCTTTCTTTGAATGACGCTACTCTTTAGTCAACTTTTGGCTTATCTTTTTTGGCATCAGTTATTTTATATTTCGACACAAGTATTACATTAAATAATTACGTAATAAACCTGAAAAAATTAAAGTTAATATTTATATTATAATATTTTTGGTTTAAACAAAAATTGTTTACTTTAAATCAGTGTAATATGACGTTTAAAAGTAATCAAAGCTAAGATAAGATTAATAAATTTCAAATTAATATTTTGTAAAAGATTTTTTTAACGATAAAGTTGTTTTTATAATTAACACGTAAGTACCAATGTATACTTGCTTCAAGAGTTTTGCGAGTTCGAAAAAAATTGCACATAGTATTTTAAAAATAAAAAAATATATACAATAATAAAAGCACTTAACTTTACATCTACTGTAAAAGTAGTAATTACATATTCTTTTTGTAAAATACCTAAAAAATAATTAAAACCAATAAAAAAATAAAGAATAATTCTTCATATGAGTAAGATTTCAGGTAAAATTATAAAAAAATACCTAGCTAAAAAACAACAAAGATTTTAATAAAAATAATAATTAATTGTAATCATTATAATCACCTTTTTAAAACTCACGTTAATTTATATTTTTGAGCAGTTTTGCTCATTAATGGTAATATTTTTAATAATACAGACGTTATTCTTGTAGAATTTACCACATTTTTTTATTTACAATCAATGAACTTAAAATTAGAAAACTATACAATTTATTAATTAATTTGAAATACCTACATTTTTATGATACTTATTTTAACTTAAAAAAAATGAATTGTTTTTTGAGAATATACACATAATGGATAATAATTATTATAAATAGAAAGAGCAAAAAAAAAATAAAACAAAAAAATTTCTTTCATTGGGATTAGAATTTCGATCCTTGGGTTTATCAGGCAAATACTTTCCTATTTCGACTAGTAGGCTTCATGACGTCATTGAGCATTTCCAGCTTATTTAGGTAACCACTTTTGCTTAACATTACACTGATAAAATTTTGCATTTTTACTAACTGTATTTCGTATTATTCTTAGTTTTTTGAGGTATATTAGATGAGTGATATGTCCTGATGTTGTAGAAAATTACAACAATAACATGAACTTTGTTGATAAATTTGATTAGTTGATGACGTACAGTGATGGACAGTGCATTTCGTCCACCCAATTTCTGTGAATTCACAAAAATTTACTGTAGCCTGTGCTTTATTGTCATGATAACTGACACTGTCAAGTTTAATTAAATTCTTATACATTTTGGACCAATCTAAAAATGGATTGGTATGTACTATACCTCAAGCAATGTAAGACAAAGCACAGGTAAAAAGTATGTGAGGAATATCGGGCATATTGTCAACATGATAAATGTTCATCAAAGTTCTCAAACAAGGTTAGAAAAACCTAAAGACTAATTTACACTTCTAGTCTGTCATGGAAATTGGTTGGACAAAATTCACTGTCCGTCACTGTACTCAACTGAAAAAGTCATAAATGGTGGCACTGAATTTTTTTCTATTTCGTTGAAGTAACTGGCAGGGTGTAACTTGTAGAGTGTCTCTTTGTTAAGGCAAACAGGAAAACTGCTGCATATTATTACAAAAATAATAACTTTTGTTAGCTATCGTACGTATTATTTAGTTTGCTTTTGTTTTTATTATTTGTTATTTTTCTTTGTTCATTATAATACTATTTAATTTTCTTAATTTATTTTTTTAAATACCTATTATGTCACTAAATAAGTAATAGACAATGACTACTTCATATTAAGAATGAAATTGTCAAAAATATACGAGATTTTATAAAAGGCTCATGAAGTTAATGAGATTACCGGAGAAAGAAGAAAAATCTGAAGTCTAAAATAATTGGTCATAGACCGATGAAACTGTCGTTAATGATATTTTAATATTTATTAAAAAAAAACTTAAAAAATTATTATTTTTAAAATCCAGTAAATATCTGTACCTGTACGGTATTTTAAATACATTAAAGTGTGTACCTGAAAGAGTTTTAATGAACAAATAACAATCTGGATAATTAACGCACTCGCGCTAAAGTTGAACCACTGTTTGAGTTTCGCTGCGGCACCGATTTATCCATAAAGCCCCCAGATCCATAAAAAGCAAAATACCGCGTCTGCTTCCTAACACATATTCCATCCGTACCCACATAAAACATATGGTCCGAATATGACACGACACATTCCCTATTTCCTCTTCCACTCGCTCTCAACTCTTCCGACAAAGACAAAACGCGAAGAATCCATTTGAATCGCCCCCTCCGGCCACATATGGAATCCGCCGTATGACATTTAAGTTTTGACGCGCCTTCTGGGAGCTGTTTACTTGGCCAATCTTACACCGTATCCGCGACGCGACGAAAAAGAAATTTAAGGCTAAATAAATTGCAAAGTTGACGTTGTTCTATATAGCGCGAGGGGTGTTATTGATGCGAGATTGAAAGATGGCGGGGTGATGGTCGAGTTTTCGGAAATTCACCGCATGTGCCATGCAAAGAGGTGGTCCCGAGGGATGATCGCAGCGGAATACGGAAACCGAAAAGTCAGCAAAATTCGGAAGCGTGGACGAAATTATTTATAGGGTGGTGGACAAAATGTGGTCACGTGATCAGTGTCAATTTAAAATCATGCGACGTGACATAACTTTTTAACAAAATTAAGTATCTTGTTAAAAGAAATCAACTTGTGGTGCAAAAACTGAAAACCTTATAATGTCATGCAATGTAAGAAGTTTTCTGTTTTTAAACTAATAGTATTTTGTGTTATTACAAGTAAAAATGATTGTTTATGTAGCGAAGCTGAACGTTTTTGAACGTTTATTTCGCCGAACGCAAATAATTCAGCCCAGACACTTAAAATCACTTTTACTTCAAATAACATAGGTATAGAGTGGAACTCCACTATAACGAGTCCCGGTTACAACAAAAAATCGGCTATAACGAGTAAATTCTGGCCGTTTTGTATACTATTCTATGTAAAATTCTCCCTCTACCTATAGCGAGTATTTTTCTGATATATCAAAACTTTTATTTTGTCTAAGATCGGTAATAGCGAAAAATTCTGAGAAATTTTGGAAACAGAACGGTTATAATGAAAGTTCCTAGAAGAAATAAAAATGCTGTGAGTCTCCATTACGTTTTTTGCATAGAATTTTTTTGGAATTATTGCTTTTGCGTGCTAATAATCTCAGTTTTCTCACTTTCTCAGTCTTGAACAAATTTTCAAGCAGAGAACACTTCGTCTTTCTATATCAATATGTCGTCCTCGAAAAGAAAATCATTTTCTATGAAAGAAAAAATATCAATAATAAAAGTGGTAAAAAACAAGCTGTAATCTACAAAAGAGAAAAATTTAGCGAGTTCTACATTGCCAATAATTTTAAAAAACAAACACAAGAGCCTTGGAAAGTGCAATTGATAAGATAAAAATGCTTCATTACAAAAAACATTACAAATTACAGATTTTATTTCTTAAATATTGTTTTAAACTTCTTTAATATCCGTATTTAATAAATAATTTTCTTAGCACATTTGTAAAAACTTTTATTATCCATGACTGTTTACAGTGAAAATCGGTTATAACGAACAAATACGTTGGCCCCTTTAATTCTCGTTATAGAGGGGTTCTACTGTAATCTTTTATCCGCAAACGTATTTAGATCAAGAGTAAAGAACAATTATATAATTATCAAATAAATAAACAAAATAATCAAGACGCTTTGCAATCAAATCTTAATAAAGGTATTGAAGTTTGTGTTGAGATTTTCCAAATCGTTTATTGTTTTAAGTAGTGAAAGTGTGGAATTAGTTATGCAAAACGTCGAATTCTGATGATCTAAATAATGGACTTCTCCAGAAATTGCTGAAGCAACGAAAAAGACAACACTGGTACTGGTACATGACATGGTAAAAAGAAAAGCAAAAAAAAACAGATTTTTTACTCCATTCCTGAAAAGTAAAACTTTTACTTATTTTAGCCATAAAAGAGTCACTTTTGTGACGTTTGAAAATAATAGTTATTTATTATGCAAAACGATAAAGAAATTATTTATCTACGAGTGAAAAGGTTAAGTTTACGAGTGACAAAGTCATGAGTGGACTTTTTTCACGAGTAGATAAACAATCTTTATCGTCGTGTGTAATATTTCGTTTTATTTTGTATTCACATACTAGAATTTCTTGTGTCTGGCTGATGAATACACTGGTCAAAGTGGAGTAGTTAAAAATTAGTTGATAAAAGCACTCTTTAACATTGAGTACAAAAAATAAAACTACTTTTCATAATAAGCGTCTATTTTACGCCAAAAAAGTGCAAAAAAGATTAATGAAATATAGTTTTACAAAAATTTGAAATGACGGACAAAAACTGTAAACAAATATGATCTTTAAAGTTTTAGCACCTTTAAACTTGGAAATGTTAAAAATATTTGCAATCTGTTTGAAATGCTATCTTTTTGATAAATATTTGTGAAGGCTAAAATTAAAGTTGCATTCCTATGTCTTAGAAACTATCAACTTTAGCATCACCGTTTTGCCCCACTTTCATCTATATTTATTTCTTGAAAATTATCAACCCTCACATAAAACAAATTGAGTCATTTTGATTTTCTTTTTCTTCAACTAGCACCCTTAAATTTCTGCACAACTATTAGGTACCCTGTACCCAAAAATTTTGTTTTGTAATTTACTTCTACTTTGATTCTCTAATAGACTTTTTAAAGAATGCGAGGTCATCATGTGCGACATTTAATAGTTAAAAGGCGACTAGATCAAATTTTGATTTTTAAAATGAAGACATTGCCAAACGTCACAACAATCCCTAAATCGATTAAAGTAGAAATTTTTGTTTAAATACAGCATAAAGACAGGAAACTACAAAAAATAATATAAAAAAAATCGTTTCATAAGACCTTGAAGCACTCATGTTTAAAATAACTCGTGGCTACGACACTCGTTTTTTAAACTTGAAATTTGTGCTTCAAGACTGATCTTCTGAAATTTGTTTTTTAATATGTATACTATTTTTCAATCTAATTCAGTATTTTACAGGTTTTATTACAGGATGATTTTAATAGTTGTACAGAAATTTTTAAAAAGTAATGCTACTAAAGAAGTCAAAATGACTCAACTTATTCAACTCTTTTTTTTAAAGCAGTGTAATATATTTTGAAGAGCTAACCTCAGAGATCATATTTGATTACGTAATAATATTTGTTCGTATACAACATTAAAGACTGCGAGCCAATTTTGAATTTATTCGGCGACTAAAACCTTCTACCTCTCACATACTATTCAAATAAGGCAGGTTGAATTATTTTTACAACTTTTGTCTTCTACTATTACCTCTTGTAATTTAACTTAAAATTAAACTATATTAAAGTTACCTGTATACATTTTTAGACCTAAAAGCTCGCTTTTTTTGCAATTTTAGTGTTAATTGTTACCCTTATTACAAAAAAATGCTGAGAACTTATGGAAAGGTGGACATTTGCACACTACGCCGCTTATATCTGTAGGCGACGCAATAAAATCGTTAAAACTTAACTCGAGTGTCGAAGACTACGTCTTGATGCAGCCTCCCGTGAAACATCATTAAATCCGAAGCTAATGACGACAGATTCTCCAGCAATCTACGCGGCACGTCTTTGCTTTCGTCGGTCTTTCGACGTGTGAAAGAAGCTCATGACTAATTGGGGCACGTCTCTGCTAACTCCCTCAACGTCCCCGTTCTTAACGAGTACAATTTTTAAGATTCTTTAAAATGCTTTTGGCTTCTTGAGCAAATCTTTCCTTCCCCCAGTCAGATTAAGCGAATTAAGCGACACTCGAAAAATTGTAATTCAAGGATAACATCAAAGAAATCGTCTGATTTAAAACAAGCAAGTCTCCAATTTGCAGAGGCGGGAAATTCGAATTTGGAAAAAATCAGGTGCAATATGTAAATCCTCGTTAGAGCAACACCGGCAGCAAAGAGAATTAATTATTAACACTTCAAACACTTGGAACTCTATAGTTTTCCCTCATGTACTGGGAGGTGCATATGTGATAAGTACAGGCGACGAAACGAACTGCTAACTACACAAGTTTCGTTTACTTTCTATGCAAATCCCATACTTTGCAGTCGACCAAACAAATTTCATGTCAGAGTTTCACCCGATTCGGTTTAGTGTTTGATGGGACGTTTGCAGTTCGGTGTGCAATCAGACCAGCAAATGTTGACTGATGTACTTGTCAGACTTCGATAGATTGTGTCATGTTTTGTTACGAGATTGTTGTTTCTTTTAGAATAGCGTGTGGCACGCTTTAAGGCCTGCTAAATATTTACCCGAGAGACTATACAAAATTTTATTATTTCATGACGATAGTTTTTGCAAATGCATCCCTTTTCACGATAGGGTTTTTGCCCCGACAACTTTCTCATTTATTTTAATTATTCAACTTGATTTTTCTTCAAGTTTTTACTTGCTTAATTCAGGCAGTGACGAGGGTCACGTGTGTGCGGTTTATTTTCATTACACTTAAAGGCAACTCACTTTAGGAAAAGGGAGAAGAGCCATCAGTTTTATACTACTTATAATTAATTTATGTTTGTCTTATTATGCATTACTTGTTTATCAATTTTAATTAAAATCAGGATTTTATTTATTTTTTATTGAATTAATATAATATACTTACAGGTAATTTAAAAAAAACTCTCTATGTTAAAATTGGATTTTATCTATTTCTTCATGGTAAAATGAAATTTCATCGTCTAGATGATAAAAAATACATCCATTGTTGTATATCTGCAGTTGTTAGTTGCTAAAGATCTTTGACATTAGACTTCATTGTTGAATTTTACTTTGACATTTATAAATATCGACCAAATTGACTACAAAATTAGTGAGGACCATAAAATTTTCACTACCTTTTCGAGCATATTTGCGTCTTGGCTGACGCCTCGACGATAAATTGCTCTCAAAGATAAAATTCAATTTTATCGTCTTGTATAATAAATAACTATAAATGGCTTTTAATATAGTATAAGCTGACAATATTATTTTTTTTCTAAATGTCGTAGTATATTTTGTGCTATATGCAACTTTCTAATTTTAAATTTCTTTTCTTTATAATTTGAAAGGTACATACATATTAGATTTCTTGGTACAGACATACAGGGTGTCCCAGCAAGTTGAAAAAGTCCATTAGTGACCTTTAAATGGCAAAATGTAAAAAAATTGTATAGGACATTGATAGATACTAATCTAGTGCATCACCTAAAATTATTTTCAACCATACAGCATGTCCCAGAAATAAGTGACGATACAAACTTGTGTTTTTTTAAATAAAACACCTTATGTTTCTTGGCATTTTTGGATGTAGCCTTTTAAAACAATGTTTTTACGCTAAACTTTTATTAATCGATTTTGCTTAGTTTTAGAAATAAGACGTTTTTTTGACGAAAACATGCACTTTTTAAAAATTTATTTCACAAAAACTAAAACAGCTAAAACATTTTTTGTACTTCTTCAAAGAAGAAAGTACAGTATTTAAAGCTGTAGCAATTTTTTAGTGCTCTTGTATTTGTAAAGATTAATAAATTAAGAAGTTTGTTTAAAGTTAAATAACTTTAAAAAATTTAATGAAACATCCTATGTTTTATTTTTGCATCTAATAGATTGACAAATTGTCTATCTAAAAAATAAACTTTTAATGTCTTGAATTGATAAATGAAAAGATATTTAACATTCAATAATAATTGTAGCAACAATTTCTATCAATATCTGAGCATTGCTAATACCATGGCAACTATAGTAATTCCACCGCGGATCACTGATCTGTTGATTTATCCAGAGATAGTAAAAGTCGTTATAAATACCGAAATTCGAATTATTTTATTGTAAAAATAAAGAATAATGTATTCAGTTTAACACAAATGTGATTATTAAGTGATATTATTCCATCTCTTGTGCAACTGTGCACTTTTTGGCTACTGAAATAACAATAGTAATTATTTTTCTAATGTTTAACGTTAAATATCTGTTTAGTTATTGATTATAAACACTTAAAAGTAAATAATTTTAGTAGAAAGACAATTTAATAATCTTTTAAATACAAAAACAATAAATAGGGTGTTCTATTAATTTTTTTTAAATTATTGAACTTTTAACAAACGCCTTCATTTTTTTTATCTTTGCAAATGCAACGCACTATAAAAATATTACAACCTTATAGCTTGTACCTTCTTCTTTACGGTAGTAAAAAAAATTTCTAGATGTCTTAGTTTTTGTGTAATAAGTTTTTAAAAAATGCATGTTTTCGTCTAAAAAACTGTTTTATTTTTAGAACTAAGCAAAATTGACCAATAAAAATTTAGCCTAAAAACATTGCCATAAAAATCTACATCCAAAAACGCTAAGAAACATATGGTGTTTCATTTAAAAAAACACAAGTTTGTATTGTAACTAATTTTTGAGACCACTGTATAGTTGAAAATAATTTTAGGCGATGGACTAGATTAGTATCTATCAATGTCCTATTTATTTTTTTTAATTTTACTATTTAAAGGTCACTAACAGACTTTTTCAACTCGCTGGGACAACTGTATATAATATTTTCTACTTTAGTAAAAAATTATTGTTTAAAGAAATTAAAAAAAAATAAAAGTTAATAAAAAGTAGTTACATAGGGTCAAATAACACTATGCCATTATTGTAATGTCAGAAAGCAGCAAATGAAAGAAAATATTCCCAATATTTTTTGAAATCTTTAATAAAAAATGACAATAATAATTACCTACAAAAAATTAAAAAAACATCACATTTTTTTTCCGTTTTTATTATTTTTATCCTAACAGCTAGAGAAGAAATGACAACAAACCAAAATAATTTATTGTTTCGGAAAATCGATGCCAAAGATGAATTTCAAGCAAAACTTTGAAATTTTAGTTTCAAACGTCAGTCATAACGACAATAAAGCGTAGCTTACATTGACATTTTTTGATGTTCAAAATTCCGTCCCCGCCATTGTATTAGCTGTAAAAATCTACAGGTTGTCCAACCAAAGCGAAGATTTAGTTCTTGCGTCTCTTCATTTTTGGCGCCTATTAAAGTTGTGATATTGAAGGGTGAGGACAACAATTACGCGACATGGCGTCAAGATTCGGTTACATAAAATAACTTTTCACGCTCGGGGGAGTTTCATCGCCCTAACCTAACTTTTCAAAACTTAATTTAGCGTTCGAGTCAGCTGCACAGAACGCAGACACCTTCAAGTGTCACCGCCAATTACCACCAATTAACAAAGTTAGTTTAGACGTTGTACGTCACGAATCCGCCTCAAACGACGACACAAAAGCTACCAAACAAATAATTCCGACATTTTCGACCGTCTTTTGTTTTACTTGGACGTGTTAATTAGGGAGTCTGGTGGACCGAGATGTGATCAATTATTAACAAGAAGAAATACGAGAGCGTAGGAAAAAAATCTTAAAAGGAATAAAACATGAGCTTCTTTTATCTAGAGCGTCGTGGAAATGATAATAATAAACGCAGGGCCGGTGCACTTAATAATGCAACGCGGTGCAAGAATTGCCTACTAAGGTTTAAAGGACCAGTCCCCAAGCAATAAGCTAAATTTGCCCTTAATTCAATCGGGAGAGGAGTTGGCCGTGCAGACAATAGACAATCGAGATGTCGCATCTGGGTTGGCCGTGCTCGTGTCCGGCTGACTCCCAGGGGTTTTACTCGATTTGTCCGCTTGTTATTAAGGACAGGCGGTTAGGCGACATGACGCGACATTGGGACTATCTAGCAAAATCAAACCATTTACACGCGAAATCCAGAAAAAAATATATTTCAATTTTAATGATCCAAAAAAGGTGAGACAGGTAGTTCTCACAGGAGCAACAACTTGTATTATTAAGTCCAGCCTATTGCAGAATTCTAGACAGGACAAAAAGGTCGTATGGCTTTCTGCGGCATCGTTGTAAAACAACCTGCACTTCTAGTACTTCCCCTAAACCTTTTAGCGCTTTAAATTACAGTATTCTGTAAAACCAACCCTTATTCAAGTTACAGTTACCTTTACACTTTATACACTCTTTTTACTTTTGCAATAATTTAATGTACAGTTTAATAGAATTCTTACGCTTTTTATTTTATTTAATTTTGTATAGTTTTGTAACTCTAATTAACAAATTTAAAGAAAATTGTAACACACTTTACATGTCATGTAGCAGATGTCACTGCATAAAATATTTCAATTTTATTATATTTTTGATAAATAAATTGAAAACCTATTTTAAAAGCATTTGAATCAAGGTTTAAACAATACACAATACTACAAAAAAAATACATTTTTTTTTTTCAAAAAGTAGATATTTGAATATTAAAGAAAACTGTAACGTAAGAACGTCACAAAGCTTCATATGTCATATGTCAACTGTTTTGAACTTGAAAAAAGTGAATAATATTGTGAATTACAGTTATATATCGTGATATTGTGACAAAAGACATTGCATTCGAAACTTTTCTCAACATTACGTTGCGTCCGGCCACTCATTTAGCCCTGTATTTTGTTTTAAATTAACTTAACCTCACATAACCTCATAATGTCAGTGGTGATCGAGACCACTTTAGGGGACATAACCGTCGATTTGTACATCAAGCGTCGACCCCGAGCATGCCTCAACTTCCTCAAACTGTGCAAAATCAAATACTACAACTACAGCCTTTTTCACACCGTGAGTCGCGGTTTCATTGCCCAAACCGGTGACCCCACCGGTAGCCGCACTGGTGGTGAATCAATCTTCGGAGTGTTTGAAGGCCCCCATAAACGTTTTTTTGAACCAGAGTCAAACCCGCGTATCAAACATACAACCATGGGTTTGATTTCGTTTGTTGGTAATGAAGACAACATGATCGGTTCTCAGTTTTTTTTCACACTGGGGACCGAACTGACGTACTTGGATGAAAAACATTGTGTTTTTGGGGAAGTCGTCGAAGGGTTGGATGTATTGGAGATAATGAATGAGGCGATTTGTGATAATGACGATAGACCGTATCAGGATATCAGAATTACACATACTGTTATTTTGGATGACCCATTTCCGGATGGAGACAGGTTGAGGGTCCCCTCGAGGTCACCCTCACCGAGTGCAGAGCGATTGAAAGGGGGCCGGATAGCCCCTGATGAAGAAATCGATGAAACGGCAGGCAAGACAGCACAGGAAATTAGCGAAATGTTAGCGGAGCGCGAGGCGAAAGCAAGGGCGACGATTCTAGAAATGGTGGGGGATATCCCGGATGCGGAGATGGCCCCCCCAGAAAATGTTCTCTTCGTTTGTAAATTAAATCCAGTGACGAGCGATGACGATCTTGAAATTATTTTTAGTCGATTTGGGAAAATTAAATCTTGTGAAGTGATCAGAGATCGGAAGACTGGAGATTCACTACAATATGCTTTCGTCGAATTTGAAGATAAAAAGTCCTGCGAAGATGCATATTTTAAGATGGATAATGTCCTCATTGACGATAGGAGGATTCATGTTGATTTCAGTCAGTCGGTGTCAAAAATTAAGTGGTTGGGCAAAGGAAGAGGCGTTAGGAATTTGGGCGAAAAAGACCAGGATTTGGGCAAGGGTCACTATCAGAAAAATGGGGAGAAAAAAGACAAGGAGAGGAGACCAGAAAAACGAAATGATGATAGAAGACATAAGTCTGACGAGCGGAGAAAAGACTACCGAGACAGGAGACATGACGATAGAAGAGATAGATATTATGACAGACGGAGAGATCGTTCAAGGTCACCAAAATACAGACGAGACGAACGAAGAGAAGAAGAAAGACACAAAACAGTACAAAGATACGAAACAAAAAAGAAACGACGCGATAGGTCGTCTAGTGTGGAGCCAAACCAAAAACAATCAAAGTCACACAAGGACAAAACGAAGAAAAGCACAAAAAGAAGCAATTCAGACAGCGAACAAGACAGAAAAAAGAAGAAAAAATCGAAGAAAAAGAAGAGATGTAGCAGTAGTTCTGACTCATAATTTTAATATGGCTGTCAATTATGTAAATAAAGTTTTTTAAGTCTTGAGTTTTCTTGTTTAATTAACCCGTCAATCAGGGGGACATTGAATTAATTATTATTCATTTAACCATCACAAAATTGCAAAAAATGCCACGTGTCTTTCTCGATTTTGCAATTTTTTTCCTGAAATAATAAAATAGGCGCCTGAGATCTGCTCTTTTTCCATAATTTAGCATATCTTTTCCGGTCATTACGCCCGTTTCTTAATTTATTTCGCGCAATCGGCGTCTTCGCTCGTTATTCCACCCATTTGCGTTAACAATTGAAATCGTGCGTAGTTTTTCATTTTTCCTCCGTCGGGGATTGCGTAGTAGTGTCGCCCACGCTCACCTCATTCACTCGACTTCAGCCGCCCGGTTTTCAGTAGTTTTCAGCGTTTCCGAGGGATCACACGCCATGGAACTGCGCTGGAGCATAAGGTGGGCAACACTGGCCTCATGTCTTGCTCTGTCGTTCGCCATCCCGGCATCGCTAGTTGAAGAAATCAAAGCCAATGAATTGCGGAATAATAAAGGTGAGTTTTTCGAAGGCAGCAACAGGTTTGGGGCTTATCGATTTCGGGATCTGTTGCATATTTTACAAGGACTGAGAGGTTCATTCTGGCGTTTTACTAATGGATTGTTAAAGTAGCTAATGAAGGAAACGCGGCTCAACAAAGCGATAAATTTAAGAGAAAAGCTCTCAAGATTTATTAGGAGTTTGCCGGATTTTCAACCATTCTTGAGAGAAACTCGAGGAGGTTGTCCTGAAAGCATTCTCCTGTACCTATTAAAATTCTAAAGTGTTAAGTATTGTCAAATTTCATTTCGAATTGTAATTGCCTATCTTTTCATAACATAAATGAAAGGGTAGATAACTCTAACATTTTGTTTGAGCAGCACTTACCTGCGTTTATTATCACAACAAATTACAATCTACATCATAATTACAATCTTTGTTTTGTTTCAGTTAAACGCGCCCATCCGCAATTAAATGTAGGAGAACATGGCAGAGAAGTCCCTTATTATAGTAAACCAACTGCAATTAAAAGAGGTAAGGTAATTAAGATCACAAAGATTTTAATTATTGATTTCAATTTAATCAAACTTTGATTGGGTGTTGTAAACAGATCGAATTCTTAATTAGACTAATTAATGTGGTCTATTCCAAATAAAAGCTACACGTGGCACTTTGTGACCCTAGAAATCTAGCTTGCAAGCAAGCAATCGATCCAAGGTGAAATTATTGATAAAATCAAACAGTAATTGGTAATAAAGTAATTATTAATGGAAAGTTTTAGTGCATTGTTTGCTTAAAGAAATTACTTTTTAATGTCATAATTCTAAAAGGATTCTACGCCCACCATACACTTCTGGCGGAGGTGTTGGATATTGAATAAATTAATTCGAAACAAAGTTTTAGAGACAATTTTCTTAAATTCCGAGAGAATTAGTTTCGTTTTTTTATTTAAGTAAGGGTTTTTGAACGATGAGTTGAGACGAGACAAATAAAGAATTTCTTTGAGAGAAAATTAAAATTAAATTTTCAGAACTTATGTTTTAATCTTTTGGTGGAACTTTGGTGGAGGTGCCGGGTTTATTATTAAAACTGTTTTATGAAATTCTCTAAACCAAAAGTCTAGTGTTTTGTTATTGTACGTTACAATGCAGTTCTAGAGGGATTTGTTGGAAAGAATTATTCAAGAGTAAAGAAACTTTTCAAATATGAAATTCAAGAGAGTTTTGTTTACAAAGAAAATAATAAAATATCCTTTTGTTTAAATTTGTATTTGACTAATTTTATTAACAACAGTAATTTTTTTTACTTAATTTTACAATAAAGTTATTTGCTGTTTAACATTTGACATTCTTTGAGAGTTTTAAAATTGTTGTGAAAAGGTATTTTTTCGTTTCTTGTTATTTTCTCAGTGTAACAGCAATTGCAAAAACTAAAAGCACACTTTCGTACAAAACCGGATTTATATGAGAAACTTTAATACTAGTAATTAAAACTCAGTCATAAAAAGTTATTACAGTTGATAAAAAATGAAAAACACATAAATCTACTTTAGTTTCATTAAAGAAAACATTTTCTTTTAAAGAGATTGTACCCGATTACCAAGAAATATGCCAACAATGAAAAATAGCGACATGTTGTTTGAATAAAAATGCGAATTATGAGAACGCAGCGACGTGATATTTATACAAACAACAACGTGACATCCATTCTTTTAGTTTAACTTCAAAATTAAATAAAACACAATAGTGCTACTTTCTCAAACGAGGACGAAATGAAATTTTGTAAAAAAAGCCATCTGATTAAGCATCAACTTTAATTCAAGACAAAGACACGACGAGATTGCGTGGAAACCTTAAATAAAATATCCATTATGAAATTGATTCGCTCTGAAGCGATATTTGATTATTACCACAGTTCTACATAAAGTCTCAGTTTTAATTGTTACTCACAATAACTCTGTACTTCTTTGAGAGGCTTTCTGACAAATAAAGCATCACAACAAAGTCAATAAATTTTTCTAATAATTTTAAAAAACGAAAAGGGAAAAGGATTATCTTTGTGATAAATTGCAGACAAAGCACGCTAAATTGTTTTCATTTCGGTCGCATAACCTTGGAAAGACGATAAAAACAATTCAGAGAAGTAGCAAATAAAATTGCTTTCTTTTTACTGTTGTTTTATTTTGATTTTGTCTGAAAAACAAATTGAAAGAAAAGAAAACTGGTGGATGCGCCGGGCAAAAAATAAAACACATCTACAAAGCATTACAACTAATAAATGTGTTTTGAAATTGAATTCAAAATATATTCTACCTAACCTGAAACGATTGATTTTTCCCTATCGAATGACATTTTACTAAAACTTTTATACAAATTGTTGTACAAATTTTAATAAACTGTATACAGGGTGCGCCAGAACTCGTGCCCTAGAGAATTTAATGATACTGATGTTCTTGTAAATGTTTTTTTTTATAATTATTTAGTAAAGGTATAAACATTTTGCCAATAAAAGCCACAAATAACATTGAACAAAGTTACAATTTAGGATACAGCTTCCTTATTTCCTCTTCTAATAGCCTGTAGCAAAAAAACTTGGAAAATTATTTTTCCAACAGAAATAAATAGAGTCAAAGTGCATAATTTAAACTCTCATAAATTCGAAGTTGTTTTCCATTTTCCTGGTATCTTACCTTATATGGCATTTTGCTCTGGGGCCCGAATTCTGGCGCAGCCTGTATATTTAGAAATTTGTAATCAATAAATTATTTTGCACTTCCAATTATTGCCAAACTAGATGAAGAAACCAGGATTAGGATTCATTTTTATTATGTTGGTATATTTAGTAAATTCTTACAATTTTTGCATAGAATCACCTGGTGAAAAAACAATGTAGAAAGTTCACTCTGCATATCGAAATACTACAAAATGTAATTTGATTTTCTTAATGACACTCATAAAATAAACCACGTATTTTTTGTTGGCAGGGGCCAACAATTTGAAAAACCCGAGTCCAGATCAGCAGACGCTCTCCGACTGGGAGCAAGAGCAAAGTCTGTACCAGAATCCAGACAGCTTGACGGACATCCAATCCAGCCTTTACAACTCCGAGAACCCTTTCGATGACAAAACAATCGCCGAATACGAAAAGGGTTTCCATTACGGAACCAACAAAGAAAAACTCGACGAAGCTTTGGAAAATGCAGTTCTTAAATCGGAATTATACGGTGATCCAGCACCGTTGAACCAATACAGGTATTACGGGAACGACGATCAACGACGTCGTAAACGTCGGGACGCCAGAAAGATCAGGTAAGTGACCAGAAACGGATTATTAGCAACAAGTTGGAGAGAAGGAGACGGACGGAAAATCGATAGGGTTTGCGTCACTGTCGCTATGTCTCTTGTGAAACAAGTATTATCGATCGGGGGCGACGTACAAACGCGCACTTTATTTAATTAGGGTGTTTTTTAATTATGGAAATAACCCAATTTGGAAAAGTGCAAAGAGTGAGTTTCCTTGAGAGCAATTCGACGAGAATTTGAATAATTGGCGTAAACAGATGAAGGCAGAGACAAGCAACGAGCAATTAAGATTTTTACACTGAACGAAGATAAAATCGATTTCTTAATCACAATTATCATATACCATCATAAATTGATGGGAAAACAAAATTAAAATAATAAACATTGTTATATTGATTTTTATGGTATAGTGTGGAATTTAAGGTAAAATGAAACAAGAAAAGTTTGTTGAATAATAGTCAAATATTTCTAAAAATAAACTAATGTAGGGGGATTTTTAATAAACATCGAAATAGTACTTACTGTCCCCGGAAAGGTGAAACAACTCTCGATGTAAATTTTCATTTTTTTAAAGACTAATTTCTAGCATAATTTTAGTTTTGAAAAATCAAGTATGTGTTGGAGATTTTCAAAAAAACTACAAATGAATAAATCTGTTGGCAATCCTGTCTCTAATTTTTAAAAGATACCTACCATTGGAGTACGATTCTGATTAACAACAATTCAACAATCTTGAGTGGTTGTAAGTTCAAGTATTTTTTGTCAAACAAAACCGTATCCGATTGCAGTGTTGCAAATTGTTAACAAAAATAATACAGTTTTTTTTTATTTGCTGGTAGTGTGAATCAAGAACACGACATGACCTTTGTCTGTTTCTGACATTTAACAGCTTCTGACATTTTGGTACTAAAGTCAAAAATTAGACATTATGTTATGATGATATAAATATAATAGCCCCAAAACAATTTTCTCCATTAAAAATGAAATTACAAATGACCTACGTGACGGTAAGACACACTTTTAACGTACGTACGTCACTAGTTGTGCGTTACTTTAATCGCATTTGTTAAAGTGAGGTAAATAGTGTGACCGACCTTATGCAAATACGTAGCGAGAGAGCACCAAGATTGTTTACAAATGTTGAAAAGAGATAGCTATCTGGTACGTCATTCGAATTATTAATTGATCCACAGTCCACACGCATAAATAAAAGAAACGGACTTTACTTTCTGGATCTTTTATATTTTTCTGAAGAGTAAAGTGCAAATACCACAAAAAGTTATTGAAAAAAATTGTTTAGAATCAACAATTAGAGCCCTATACCAAATTTTAAAATCATCGGCGAACTATGATTTTTAACAGTATTAGTTGTTGAAACAAAATGCTGAAACGAAGATACGAGCCGCGTAGCGAGTTGAGGAACAAATGATTGCTTGAATGGTCCTCTATTACACGTTTTTATATTTTTCTATATTACGATGTTTTTAAGGAAATAAAAACAAAAATTTGTAATTTAGAGAATTTTGCGTCAGTTGGTATCAATGTTAGCACGTTAAAAAGATCGTAAAAATAGCCATCAACCTGTGAATTCAACTCAAAAAAACTCACATTTGTCATTGAAATATGTAATCTGGAAATGAATTCAAACAGAATTGTCACCAACATAAAATACACTAAGCTGTTAACGCGTCCTAGTTGGAAAAAAATTTTCAAGCTCGAAGTGTACAGTTGGGGACACGGAATCCTGGGCAGTCTTATCTTGTCATTTCAAAAAATGTCAATGTAAATGCACCTTTGCCGTCATTATGATTGATATTAAAAAGAACTGTCAAATTAACTTTGACATACAGTCGCGGCAATTGAAAAGTAATACACTTGACAAATAAAAAAAATTTGGCGTTGTAAATTTTCCCTTGAAATTGACAATCACTGTCATGTTTAAAATGTCACTAGAATCTTCTTTGTTTTAAGGACAGTCATTTATGTTCACATTTTCTTTCTTTCTTCTGCGATGAATCGTAGAGGGACATTGTCCCTTAATCTTGTAATAATAATAGATTTCTGTACATTCGACAATTGCGGCATTTTAAAATTTTTCTGACGACGTCCACCACTACTGATTTGTCAAAAGTGACGTTTTCAGTGACACTGACAATCACAGAACAGAGACAATCACGACAAAGAAAAAATTACATTAAATATGCAATTTTTTAAATTCTGATAGGATGTGTCAAAATCCCGTGTATTACTTTTCAATGACCGCCACTGTACATCAATTTTTGCAAAATGCCAGCTGTATCAGTTTTTAATAAATCTCAAGCAATAGCTCTTATTCAAAGCGGGATGTTTCGGTGACTTTGGGGATTCCAAAAACTTCGACTTTTTCAGTGTCAAAACGACAAATATGCCAAACATTAAAAGCTTGGTTATGAGTACCTAAGGAATAGTTTAGAAATTTTGACAACTGAATAACACATCTGTCCCGTTTTCCGTGTCCCCCACTGTACGTTTTTCTTTATACTTCTACGAAATCAATAAAAACCACACTTCAAAAATGTAGAAGACTAGAGAAGTTAAAAATAAAATAATGGAAATTTGTTTCGCCAATCCACTCAAGATGCCTAGAAAAGCTCAGTTCCCAAGCTCCCCCACATCCATTATGAGAATCCCTAATTAAAGTAACTTGTTGCTATTTGTTTCCCAGTGGGCCTCCCACCGCTCAATCAATACCCATTTCCTTCACTGAAACAAACCCGATCTAATCCAATCACTCAATCCTCTTCCAGACTCGACAACCGAATGAAACGCGAAGTGGACCTCACCCCCGACGAGATCCTCACTATTTTAACACTGTACGAAAACGAACGCAACGGTTACCGCCCCTGGAACCTCGACCCTGAGACCACTAGCGACAATCTCGACGACGATGAAAACTGGTTGGATGCCCCCGTGTACCCCCATGCTACCGGCCATAATGATATCGCCTCCAGCTACCTCATGGACGAGAAGCCGTTCGAGAAAAGGGGCCGATGGGGCGGATTTGCCGACAACAGGAAGAAACGATTCATGGTGGCCAAAAAGCGGAACGACCCCACGAGAGAACTGAGGTACTTGAATGGCCCCAATAAGAACGACTACTACACTCTGAGCCAACTCTTGAGCAATCAACGAGAGCCTAATGTTCCCCTTTACCATCGGCTAGTTTTGTAATAAGTTTTTAGACTAAACCCGAGCTCATATCGCGTTTTTGAATCGTTTAAAGTCTATCTGTGTTACTAGTTTATTGATGTTTATATGTTTTACCAAACTATAACTCTCAAAAAGTCAGTCAGTATAATATTTACAGTATATTTATTGAATGTTGTATTCCGTAATATTAAATAAATTGTGCATAATGATGTGTTTATTTTTGTTTCAATTCGGCTTGTTTTTCACTCTCCGCTTGTCTTCTCTCGTTAATTCGAGCTTTGACTTTGTTAGACCACTGGAAAATTTTTGGGAGAGCGGTAAGTAAAGAAGAGGGTCTATAGCCTTTCCGGAAGTAATCAGCAACTATATCATTGGCGTGATCCACAGCCACCTTGATAGGGGTTCGTTTACATACATCCATAGTATGAGTGTGAGCCCCCTTTTCAACCAAGACCACGGCCAATTCCAAAAAACCGGTAAGGGCAACAAAATGGAGACAATTTCGCCCTGACTGGGGCTCAGTCATATTAATATTAACCCCATTTTCCAACAAAAGCAGCACCAACTCAATTTGACTAATGGTACGACAATGGAGAACCGATTCTACAAATGTTGAAGAATATTTTTGTTTTAATAATTTGCAATTACCAAAGAAGATATGGAGCGGTCTTTGATCCTCGACACTCATATCGGCCCCATTTTGAAACAACGTTTTTGCTATTAAATAATTATTCCTGTCTATGATACTCAAAGAGAGGGGTGTATTGCCAAAACAGTCCACAACATTAACCTCAGCCCCAAATTTCAACAGTTTTATCGTAATACCATAATTATCTTGCTGTACTGATATATGTAAAGCTGTGATATTGAAGCGGCCGTGTATATTTGGGTTGGCCCCATGTTCTAATAAAATAAGAGCAAACTTTTTACAATTGAACACACAAGTAAGATGCAAGGCAGTTAAACCGTGGACACTCCTCACATCCACGTCAAACTTTTTATACTCCAATAGTCGGTACCCCAGTATGTAATCATTCCGTTCGGCGAGTAAATGTAAAGGTGTAACACCATATTCTGATGATCGATAATTCGGATCTACTCCTTTACTCAAACACCTTGTAATCTCCGGTATGTTTCGAGTATATACGGCAAAAAAGAATTTTTTCTGGAGGACTTTCTTACCCACATTGCTCATCAAAGGGTTCACGGTTTTTTTAAAGCTCCGTTGTCCTTTTTTATGTAAATCTCGTTCTTTCGACATGATTAATTCAAAAATTTGACACTCGCGCCGAAATTTGAACGAGTCTAGAGATTTTCGTTACGAAAGTGACATTTGATATGAAAGACACATAACCAAATTTATGGTGGTTGATATTTATCGAAAAATTTAATAAATTTGGGGTTGTTTGGACGCTATCTTTCCAAATATGTGATTAATTCAGTATTTCGATGGCGACTTCGGAAAATGAGGGTAGCTTAAATCAGTACACCGTCGAGGAAATCAACTACAATGAAATTCAGAAACTTGAGGTAACATAGCCCTCCGTAATGGACACAAGAAACGTTTGTGGTTTCAGGCAGTCGGTGAGGGGAGTTTTGGCGTAGTTTATAAGGGAATCTGGCGCGATGCGTACGTAGCGGTTAAAAACATTGTCTCTGAGAATGACAAAGACGCTTTTATTGTGGAAGTCCGACAATTATCAAGAGTCAAACATGAGAATATTGTCAAGTTGTATGGGGCTTGTACCAAAGCCCCCAATATCTGCCTTGTAATGGAATATGCCGAAGGGGGTTCTCTCTTTAATATTTTACACCATGCACCTAATGTACATTACACAATGGCTAATGCCATGGCCTGGCTTTACCAATGTGCTAAAGTAATGCTTAAATCACAGTCAAAACCCATTTTAATTTGATTTTGCAGGGAGTTGAATACTTACATGGCATGAAACCCAAACCTTTAATCCATCGAGACCTCAAACCCCCCAATTTACTTCTAATTAACGGGGGCACCTTATTAAAAATTTGTGATTTTGGTACTGCTACTGATATGACAGCTATCATGACCAACAATAAAGGGTCAGCTGCATGGATGGCCCCTGAGGTAATTTTGAGACACTTTTGACTAGTTTTCAATACATGTTTACAGGTGTTTGAGACATCAAATTATACTGAAAAGTGTGACGTATTTAGTTGGGGCATAATACTCTGGGAAGTTTTATCAAGACTTAAACCATTCTTCCATATTAAAGAGTCAGGTTATCCTTCAGCTTTTATGATCTTGTGGGCAAAACACAACGGAGCGAGGCCCCCTCTAATCAGGAATTGTCCCCCAATAATTGAAAAGTTGATGACACAGTGCTGGGATCAGGAGGCGGCCAAAAGACCGAGCATGCAAGAGGTAATGGCTGGCATAACCACACTTTTTGTGTCAAAATTAGTCTTATTTAGGAGTATCCAACTTCCGAAGTCTGATTATGACATGTATTAGACAAATTAGTGCACTTTGGGTTTGTTTTCTGTGATTGAAAAAAAAGTGAGGTTATGTAACACAAAACCAAAATTGAGATTTGGCTTTACAGATTGTGAAAAAAATGGAAGTCATTTGTTCCTTGCTTCCGGGTGCCGAGGAGCCATTGCAAATCATCGACGGAGATGACGTTGTTTATGAGGAAATTGAAGAATATGAGGATTGTGTGGAAGAAGTAGACCAGTTTCCTGTTAGTACCAACGGCGACAACTGTGTGAAGTCGTTGCCCCAACCTAGTGCCGAAATGTGTCAACCCCTCAGTTTAAAAATAAGCCCTGTAAGTGCAATTTCTGCAAAAGTGAGGTTATGTTACATGACGTAATTGTCTTTTAATAGAATCTGAGTAAAATGATTTGGAACGTTTTTGATTAATTGAGTCGTTTTGTTACAGGATGCGTGGGATTTAAAGGATGTCGACATGCAGCTAAGAACCATGCCCGGGTTTGATAAGATGGTACCAAAAAACGGTAGGCCTCATCGATTTTCTTATGGCTTGTATGTAAATTTAGCCGCCACCGAGAGCATTGGCTTAGTGCATGACTCAGCCGCTAACAACTTGCAATTCTTTTAAGAGAAAAACACTCGAGGGCCAGGTGTTGGGGCTATAATTTTTATTTTGTCGCAGTATTAGTCACACACGGACCAATAAAAATAAGATCAAAGCCGAGTCGACTTGTCTGCACGGATTCGTCGCGGTATTTTTATCACTTTGTGACCTTAACGTCGTTCAGGTCCGGCGCTTTAAACTCAGTTTGGCCGAAATTCCGTTTCCTCCTCCTAAATACGTGCTAACCAAAGGGGCATCTGTTTTTAGACTCGCTGACTCAGCGAGACGGATTTAGAGCAGTTTGTTTAGTTGGAAGTTTCTTGATCGGCCTGCCAGGGCCGGCCTGTCTAAAATTGAACGCCGGCCTCGGAAATCCGGAAAATGTGGAGTTTTATTTACAGCTTTTACGCACTTTACCACCTTGATTTGAGGTCATTTCCGGGGAAAACTCTGTAGCAGTTTTGTTAAAAATGTCGGGGGGTTATTGTGGTCGGGGGGAGGTGTCAAGACCACTTCTGGTCGTCCAGATTTCGTCGATTTTTGTGAAAACTCGGCCAGTCCGTCGCTGGCTCTCCTGGCCTCTTCTCCGTATCGCTATTTCAGTTGCACCCATACGGCCGTTGCCAGTTTCTATCCAGCGGCTGGTAGTCTCGCATAGTTTTTCGAGTGGCCCCCGAACATAAACAATTGACACGTTCCTATTGATTCTATCCGAAATCTTATCATGTTTCGTATCGTTTGAGATTTTTCCTCGATTTTTGTACAATGTGTGATTGTCCGAGAGCCAGCGTTTTTACCACACATGAAACTCATCGAAGTTGGATCATTTTCAAAGAGTGCAAGACTGATAACGGTAAATAATCGATTTGATGGATTATTTTTACATAAAGTAGCCGGGGAAGGTCTAAAATAAATTCGGCCACAATCTTCTTAGTCACGTTTTTATTTTTGAAAGGACGGATGTGTAATTAATCGAGTTTGTGATGTAATGTCATGGAAATTGCACGTCCGGAAGTGCATTCGTGGCGAACGGACCACCTGGACGATGGCGGCAAACCGTAGTTGTAATTAAAAATTTTTCACCCCTGTGTAATTCTAACTGAATGTTTTCCGTTTCTATTGTCTGTAAGCATGATTTCTTATTGTATATTTTTTGTGAAAAATTCAGCAAAATGAGTGAGTTTTCCAAATTTTAATTAACAACAAACTTCGGTGGGTTATGGTTTGGTTGACCTTGTTTTATAATGTGTTGGCGTCTCTAACCAATCATTAGTGGTGATGACTGATGAAATATGAAAGAATTCACAAACACAAATTTTGGTCAATGAGCTTTTGGTTTTTCATTCACATTTGTGTAGTCAGTTGACACAAAGATTGGTTATTTTCTTACTATACAACCACATCCTTTTTTATTTTTATCAGAAATGATTAATTTTTAAATATCTAGTTTCAAAAATCCAGTTTGTTGTTTAAAGAAAACTTGCATTAATTTAGAGTTCCTATTGCATTTTTTCATTTAATTAAATTGAATTCATGTTTGCAAAAAAATTAAATTTACTTCAACAATAAAAAGGAACATATCTTTGCTCTTTGCAGTGTAAACAGAGAAATGTGTTGTTCTTTTGACTTGCTATGCAAATACACAAATAAATTCTTAGAAATTTGTTGTTGATTGTCGCCAAAAAGTGAATTTCATAGTTGTTTAGTACATAAACAAACAAATTCTTGGGAAAATTCACACTTTTAATTACGTTGACGTAATAGATAGAATAAATAAACAAAAGTTAACTCTTTTTGAAGTAAAAGTGCAAAAAATGTTTTTAATTGTTAATAAAAAGTCGTTTTAAAGTGAAATGAATTTTATACGTAGGTACATATTTGTTTACCAAAACATACACAGGTATTTTTTTTTTCGTAACTTCGAATTTAGTTAAAATACAGTCATTATTTTGACAACTATTATCGATTCGAGTTGTACCACCATGTACGATTTAATTGTTTTAACTATTCGGTATTTGGTGTAATATGAAAATATAATAAAAAAAACTATATGACAGAATAAAAAAAAACAAGAAAACAAACCACTGTATCCCTGCGAATATGCTTCATAACATAATAAAAAAAATCCTTTTAAGAAATGCATAATTTGGTCTGCAGTCGATTAATACACTGGCGGACATAAAATTTTGGACGATTTGTCATTCGACTGAAATAAAAATGTAAAACGAGCCTTAGGCAACTAATCTCACTTTCGGTTTTTGTAATTTTTATTCTGATAGCTAGAGAAAAAAATGACAACAAATCAAAATAATTTATTGAACTAAAAACACGTACTGCTGGCATTATTGTTTCGGAAAATCGCTGCCAAAAATAAATTTAAACTAGTTTCATTCAACATTGACATTTTGTGAACTGACATAAATTTGATGTCCAAAATTCTAATAATAATTAATAATTTTGTTATTAGGAATAAAGGTGATAGTTTATGTGGCGAAGCTGAACGTTTATTTTACCGAACGCAGTGAGGCAAATAATTCAGCTGAGCCGCATAAATAAACTCAGTTTTACTCGAAATAACATACACTATTTTATTCGCAAACGTCTTCAGGTCGAGAGTAAAGAGCAACACTATAATTAGCAAGTAACTGAACAAAATAATCACGTGAAATTATGTGAAACTCTTTGTAAGTAGGATAAGATACCAGGAACATAAATATTTAAAAAATTCTATCTTTCAAAAATTCAAAAAAATTTGACTTTTTGGTATTTGAATTATGTTTATTTGATATTATCATCGATAGTCTTGTATATAAAACTTCGTCCGAGACTTTGTCAATAAAAGCCACAAATAACGTAAAATTATTTTTCCTACGACCCTAACAGAAAGTAAGCTTTCCACCCCAATTTAGAAAGAAAAGTGGCCAAATACCTCCCCCATAGAAATGGGAAAACATGCCGCTAGATTTAATGGCGATAGTAGGATATCAAGAGAAACTGTTAGTTTTGCTGGGTCGGTCGTAGGAAAAATTATATGTATTACACTGGAGGAAAGTGTATTTTCCTCTCTGGGTGGTTACTGCCCTTGACAAGTCTCGGGCAATTACTTCCATCTGTGGGAGAAAACGCTCCACTTTCCTCCCTTGTAATACCAATAACTATTTCCCACAGAAATAAATAATTTCGCGAGTGCTGAAACACAGTATGTGGACACTTTGTTTTTCTACTAAACGCCAACCTGATAACTTTGAATCCCATGGTCTAAATTGGGAAAAAAATTGAACAAAATATAAAAAATGGAGATTCTACATAACAGTTCCTTTGCAGTCTACAATTGTTGTAATTATTTTATTTTCAGTTTATCTATTAATAAAAAAAGGGTAAAAATACTAAATGTATGCGATGTAATGTCAAGTTACTAAAATAAATGTGTATCAAATACTTTCCGCAATGCTTTTTTAAATATTTCTTGTGTTTGGTCCTTATGCAGATGATTGTGGTTCCAATTTCTTCCTCAAGAGCTCTGGCCCTCAATATTGCTCATCTGCGTCAAAACACAATCAAATTTTTAATACCCTCCCACACAGTAATCATTCTTGTTTGTCTTTCCCCAAAAATCTGGCATTAGTTCAAACCGCATAGTCTCTTCCTTGTTTATAACAACAGAAGTTTATTTACTTTAAAATCATTTCACGTTTTCCACCAGGTTCCAAAAACACAACGGTAGAAGCAGGCATAGAAAGCACCAAGTCGACACCTGACGGCACCGATCCCGATTTAGATAAAATGTACCTTTTATTAGAACCACATTTACGACCTGCCACTCCAGATGCCGACAATCCGCAATCAATGGCGCTATTTGAAGAACACAAGCAATTGGCTCAGGAGTATTTCAAGGTAATTTTATAAATTACAATAAAAAAAAATGGACGAAATTTTTGCTATAGGTCCAAACTGAGCTCGCGTATGTTTCGCAAAAGAAAAATAAGCTATTAGCGGCGCAATCTCAAGAACAACAACAACACACCAAACTTCTCAAAGACTTGCAAGCGGAGAAAGAGTCCTTAGTCCTAGTGAGAGAGTTGCTAAGTCGGCAAAGAGAAAACAATAACGCGGCGAGAAATAACATTGATAACTGGGTTTTGGTACCCAGAGATGGTACTAACACGGACTGACTTATTTATTACCTCGACTTTCATTTTCCTCACCCTTCATTGTTTATTTATCAGAGTGTTTTTATAGGATTAAGCTCAATTTTTATATGTGTATATGTAAATAAAGTTGGTTATTTATAAGTGACGCATTATTTATTGGTATAACAGTACCAGACCCCTATAGTTTTATCACCTCCAAGACAAAAAGAGCCAGGTGTAGGTAGTGCCAGGTGTCGCTTGATAAAATTATATAACTATTTCACCCCCATAGTGAAAAATCACCGATGCGGAATGAAAGAGAGGAAATACGGTAATAGTTTGAACGATATATTGGAGACGCACCTTGTCCGTAAAAACGGAATTTTTCAAGTGTTGAGCGGCCTTGAGAAAAATGTTGGCATGGGGGCACCTGGCCCGGGCCCATAATTTGAATTTTGATAACAATCGGAAAACAGATGGGTCATATTCAGTAAAAAATTGAATTAATTCATAAGTCAAGAAGCACAGAAGTGTGAAAAATGAGTAAAAAAGTGCGAAACTATTTGCTAAAAAACAACAAAAGGTTTGAAAACATACAGAAAAACCTCAGAAAAAAAGTTCTGTATGTTTTTGGACGATTTGTCATTAGACTGACATAAAAATGTAAAATGAGCCTTATTACACTAACATCACTTCGGTTTTTGTAATTTTTATCCTGTCAGCTAGGGAAAAAATGACAAATCTAAATAATTTAATGAATTTATATAAAAACACGTACTGCTGGCATTATTGTTTCGGAAAATTGACGCCAAAAATAAATTTCAACTAAAACTTTCACGTCATTCGTAAGCGTGGCTTAAATTGACATTTTTTGAACTGACATAAATTTGATGTCCAAATTTTCGTGTCCGCAATTGTACGTTTCAAGTGCTTTTACCTCTGTAAAGAATGCATTGACAAAAAATGTAAAGTCCACTGTGAAGTTGGTCATTAACGAATGTTTAAAAAATACTAACTAAAAAAAGTGAAAAAGCTGTTTAATATTAAATTATCAAGAAATTTCTGGCAATAGAATTTGGTCGACTAATATGCTGTTCCAAATTCACTAAAATGTGACAAGTGAAGAATGAAAGTGTCTTTTATTTTGACAAGTTGACAAATGGTGAGTTCATTATTTTATTAATGATTTCATTTGAGTAAATTGTGTGATAACAAACATAGTTTTTGTAAATCCCAGAAGTTGCGGCCTGAATTTAGCGTTTCGGGAACCCCCCGCAAGGTTTTAATTTCTTTTTAACCACACCTCATAAACAAGTGTACCAAATAAACAATTACGTGAAATTAAAAAATCGGCAGTCTAATTTATTACCCCGTAAATAATTAATTATTCGGAAACGTTGTTTCGTTCGTTTCCGCCTTTGGCGAGGAAACGCGAGGGCGGTGTGTCCGGTTGAAAGTCGGCGTTTTTGTTCGAACCGCGAACTCGAGTGCACCAATTCTGCGGTGATGTTGAGTGCCTTTAAAATTTAAAAAGTGTCTTTGAACAATACAAAAAATGCCCCGTTGTATGACTTGTAAGTATTTAATTTTGTCAAGTTGGTAGTAATTTCAAGCACGCGGCATAGCCCACTTGGTAAACAACATCGAGTGGTAGTTACCACCCCCTGTCTCGGGGCCCCACTTACAAGATGAATATTTTACGACGTGAGTAAACATTCTAAGGCGAATAATGCACCCCCGCCAAGGGGTGAAAAATCTACAATGTCCATCGCGTGCGCTCGTCTAGTGGCATTTCACCCTCGATTTCATCAAAATGTTCTTGGAAATGTCCAAACAAGCTCAATGATGAATTGCTAAACACCGCGTTCGATAAAATCAATTGGTAATTTGGCGCCCAAATTGGAGCATCCCCTATTATTCGCTTTGTTGGCCGAACTTGAATAGTGGGAAATTTTTAGATTTACGTGTGGGGAAATCGTTTGAGGTTTATGAGCAAAATTGGACCCGAGGGATATTAAACTTTACTGCACGAATACGTAGCGTTAATTGGGGGTGATTTTTAAAAATAGACGATTTCTACAAAGCGAGTAAATATTTAATTGAGAATAATGACGACTACAAATCTGGTCTTTTGTATCGATCGTGAAATTATTCTGCTGAGTAAGCGAGATAATAAATTTAAAAACGTGTCAAAAGCGTGTTACAAGCTTATTCAAATTTATTTTATAGTTCTTGTGACTGATACGTCTGTGGGAATCCCAAAACGATCACATTGTTGCCAACGCGTTTTTTGACACCTTGAATACCAACCTTCCGCAATATTACGAAAATTATAACTATTAAGTTTGCTAGGCGAGTGCTACTTCTTGTAAAAATCAATACTGTCTATAGAATTTCACAGGAAGTTAAATACTAAATTATTGCATTGGGAAATAAGTATGTAATGTGAACAAACACTAGGCAAAAAACGATTTTTTGTAATAAAATTCGTACACTTTATTATTTGTTAATACAAAACTAATAAGGTGAAGAAATAGAAATATTTAAATTCTAGGAGAAAATTTTCAATATCCTGTTGCTCACTTAAGTTTTTATTACCAATTTGCGTGTCAAGCAGCTAATTTTTAAATATCATTTGGCTGATTTACGCTCTTTTTGAATTAGGGCGTTTTGCTATTTAAAAGACACTTTTTGTGATTCATATATTTGAGCAAATTAATTACTGAAAATTTTAAAAAAAAATTCGTCCGAACAGGGAATAAAGTGACGCTTTATTCTCTTATTTTTGACTAATAATCGGATACTTTATTCCATCGGGAATAAAATAACTGAAATACCAAGTTTTACTCTTGAAATAAACTGAAATTAAATGAATTGAATCTTTTGAATGTTTTTTAACATAAACAAACTCCTTGATTCCGATCTTTCTTTCTTAAAATTGCAATTGAATGAACTGAATTTTTTGACATTGAGTATTTGACTAGTATTTTCTTATGTTATTATTAAATTAGTCTGTTAAAAGAAAAATTTTGTATGCATCGTTAATCCCTCGAATTAAAATCCTCGGTTCCCTTCGATGGCATCAATTAAATAGTTGTTTATTTCCTTGATACATAAATAACTACAAATATTTCAAATACATGGTGTAACAAAAAGACGGAGACAAAGAGTTACCTGAGATTTCTCAAGTCAAAATAAAGCGATTTAACCCAACTTACCTCTATACCAAGTTGCAGTTAGAGTACGCCTATGAAATTTTAATTTTTTTGTTTAAAAAGACACTAAAACCTAAAACAATACAAATTTGAAAACAATAATAGTAAATGGGCAACGTCCAAAATACTATATTTTTTTACTCTAAAACCAATAAGGCCGATACATTTTTTTTTATTATGAAAATTTTTAAAAAATTATGAACCTTTAAAAAATAAATACGCCACTCGAATTACGTATAACAAAAATATGGCTTAAAATGTGTCAAGTTGTTAATAAGTTAGTACTTTACAATAAAAATAAAATAACAGAAATAACACCAAAACATGTGGTCAAATTGCCTTTACCACATTTCGATTATCCCCCTTGAAAAAGTTATGAAAGAAAGACAAAAATAAATTTTAAACTTTTTTTTTTAAATTGACGCCCTATGGTGCAACTTGGAATAAAAAAAAAGTTGGGTTAAATGGCTTTATTTTGACCTGGGGAATCTCGGTCACCATCTTTTCGTTACACTCTGTATATAGAAAACAGAGGCTTTATTCTGTCCTCTCGTCCAAAAATTTAATGTTTGAAGCCTATGCAGAAGTTTTTTTTTTCATATTAAATCATCAAAAATGTTAAAGAGAAATATATAAATATAAACAGAAAATAAAAGCCTACAAAGAATAATCCAAAAGCTGCAGTAATGACTTTCTAACGTCCACATTCTTGATAAAATATTAAAGAAGCTTTTAGTGAAAACACTTTTTTTAATGATATACTTCTTTCAAGGAAAACAAATTTACAAATAACTGCCTATATTATGGAGTTTTTTTTTATTTTCCAAAAAATAAGTTACAAAATATTTTCAAATTGAATTAACGAAGTTTTCAGGAAGTAGTCCTATTTTCTGGGACACTTCTTATAACTTCCATTTTTGTACTTAATTTTTTTTATTTTATTCAATAGAATTTGTAAGTTACGTGGTATAAATTATAATAGACGAATGAGACATTTTTTTGTGGCTGCAGTAATGATATAATTGATTAAATGAGATTGATTATTCTTTTTTGTTTTGTGACTAAAATATTGTTTCAGTTTTTTGCCCCCATTTTTTTATAATCTGCCCCGCACAATACGACCCTTTAAAGCCACCACCCGATAGCGTAATAGGTCGGCCTTAATATTCTTCACAAAGCACTTTTCCTTCTATTAATCGCGCCTTTCACCCCATCCCCGTCCATAACAATTTTTCCCTGTCGCATTAACCGTCACTTAAGTAAAATCCAATCAAACTTATTGGCGTATCGATGTAATCGAGTCAGACATTCGCTGGGAAAGCAGACAGGTGCGAAGTAAAGGGTCGCGACATGCCCTCATTCACCCCAAAATCTCCCCCAAAAAACTGGACAATTTCGTAATTCGGCCGTGCAATTATTAGATGCGTTGTTTTTTTCCCGATTTGATCGTCGATGAACGATTGAGATAGCAAATGTCCATTAAAAGGGGATGTTGGAACTCCCCTTCTCCCAACGGAAAATTATTGATCGCAGACAGTGGTGGTCATTTGATGACGTCACGGCGGTCGAATCGACCGATTTTCCACATTTCCACGACACCCTGCTTTCGCGGTGGAAAAGTGCTAACTGATTTTCTGTATCCGCAGAATGGTGAAGAAGAAATGTAAAACGAAAATGTGATCCTCGGTACCTAAATCCGTCCCAATTTGCTCAACGAAGCTCAAAATGAAACTGGAAGTGCGCAAAAAGCTCGAAATGGAAATCTGCGAAGAGAAAAATTTCATTTATCAGTGCTCAAAAGACAAGATGGACATCGTCCAATTAGCTCAACCCGAGTATTTGCCCGAAGGAGTCCAAAACTGCATCGAAATCGACTCCAGCAATGTGATCAGCATCCCCGAAAACCAAATAGTCAAAATCCAGTACCGCGGAGAGGATGGAATTGTCAACACTGAATACATCGTCAATGAAGACATCCTCCAGAACCTCGAAACCAATTACCTCGACATCAAAGAACCAATTTACAATCCTTCGACGTCGAAACAACCCGACGACCCCGCTATCCTCAGCCCCAAAAGCGAGAATGAAGACATGACTGAGACGGATTTGACCAGTTTGAATTGGTTGCACAACATTACGAATATCATGGCAGTGCCGAATTTGCCGACGCCACCGGTGTCCCCCAAACCCAAGAAGAAGACATCCAATTCGAATCAAGAGGATTTGACTATTAATATTAATTATTATAAGAAGAATGGTGATAAAAAACCGCCGTTTTCGTACGCGACGTTGATTTGCATGGCGATGGGCAAGAATGGGAATAAGATGACACTGTCGGCGATTTATCACTGGATTAGGGAGAATTTTTTGTATTATAGGAAAGCTCATCCGAGCTGGCAGGTAAGAATTGTTTTTACGGAGGAAAATAAAAGTTTTGTTTGAAGCGGAAATAAATGTAGAGGCGGAAATAAAATCCCATTTCAATGCTTTAAAATTGTAATTTTGTAAGTAGATACAAAAAATACAAAGTGGTTATAAATGATTTTCATCTAGCCAGCTGTGAATTTTCCATGTAAAATAAAAATTGCCGCTTTACGAAAATAGGGGTACCTACTTATTTTAACTCAAAATTAAAAATTCGCCGTTTACTAAGCGTCCACTTCAAAAATAGACTTTAATTATAAACTTGTTTTGTATACATTATACATACTTGTATACATTATACATGTTGTATACATTATTATCAATTATTATTGGAAATTAGTTGAAGCAATAAAAGTTTAATTAATAAGTGACACTAATGACAAAACTAGAGCTTTCAAAAAAGTAGAGCGGAACAAATAAAGTAACTTGCAAAAAAATTCCAAAGCTGGCTAGACGAAAATCATTTATAACCACTCTGTACAATTTGGTTTACAAGCCCCATGCACAGCTGTTTTATATTCTAAACGAATTTCAGTTTTTTTAAACCTGTTTGTAATTACAGATTTTTTAAATTTTATGATAAATATTTTTTTTAATAAATCTGTAACTATTATAAAATTGATTAATAGAAAAATATGAGAAAAAACACATAATACATAACATAAAGCCAGAAGTTACGATACATAAAATGTGGTCAAATGAACTACAAACAGCTCATGATGTTTATTTCTCGTTTCGTTTAAGTAACAAGTAATTTAAATTCAAAATCGCTAAAAATGATTCAAAATTAAGCGAAACCGAAATCAAAAAAACCCCTCGTTCGCGTTGTTGATTATTATTAAATCAAATAAATAATACAGTGAGTGGCAAAATTATGGAATAATCTTATTTATTAAAACTGAAAGATCAATTTTCTTTTTATAAAATACAAAATTCTCAATGTGATTTAAAATTGTATGTTTGTTTTTTGTTGATATTATTTCTTATTTATATATTTATGATATTATTTCTTATATTATTTATTATTATTATTATTTTTTGGTGATTTTTTTCGAAAACTTTATGTAATATTTAATATTTAGGTGTCGTCATTTCAATAATAAAAATCTATCGCATTGGCTAAAAAAACTAGGGTTTCCATTAAAAAAAATGTTACTAAAAACCAAAAAAAAATTAAATTTCAAATCAAGTTGAAAATTATGTATTTTTGACCTGTTCGATCATTTTTGCCAAAATAATAGTATATTAAAGAACAAGTTTTATAAGGGTTGATTTGGCGCACGAATCCCAAATTAGAAAACGAGCCGTAGGCGAGTATTTTATGCTATTTTTTCTAATTTGCGCCCCCTTTTTTCTTATTTTGTATATATATTTTTGTCGTGTAGAGAATTTTGTGTTAGTTGGTATTGGTTGGTAACACTCGACGCCCACCTGATTTTTTGAATCATTTTTGCCGTCTGCCATTTAAAATAAAATTTACAAATTATTAGTTATTAGTGTTACAACATAATAATAATAAATAAAATATGAGCCAACAGAATTAAGTTTGCACTCCGCCCGAAATTCGCGAAATTACCGAAGCAACAACGCAAAATTTGTTACCTGACTAGTGAGAAGCGACATACAAAAACTAAATAACCCTAAATTCATTAAAGTACAGTATGCTTTTATAGATAGCCCTGCTGAGAGACGTTAATAAACATATTATAAACGCAAATTCGAAAAAATATTTTCAGGTTTAATAAGATTATTCCATAATTTTGCCGCCCACTGTATAATCAAAGAACTGTCAAAATCTGTATATTTATCACTATCGCAAGTCGATGTTATAATAAAAGGCATTTTTTAAATTAGTTTAGTTTCATCAACTGCTTTTTTTGCAATTTTTAGTATTAATTTTAAAAATCACATCACGAGAAGTTATAGAAATACAAAAATAATAGTGTTTTAATGATAATAATACTAAAACTTTATAATAATGAGTTATTGTCATTGTTAGAACAGACGTTTATAAATTTGGCGTCATAGTAGGCGGTGATTTGAATGTATTGTGAACGGACCACAATTTTTAGTACGTCCGGCGAGGTCTCAAGTGTCATATTACCAACTTTCAACGATGGTTCGTTCACAATCAAACTTTCATGGATAGCTTTGACGCCAAATTAAAAAAAAAAACACTCGTTTCAAAGTGAACAAAATTAGTCATTTGGCTCCTGAAAATAAAAATTAATAAAAATCATAATGCCACAAAAAATTTCATCGTATTTTGAGAATGAAGTTTTGTTTTTGAGTTATGCGATTTTTTTTCGAAATTTGATTTGTTGAAACTGTTGATACAGTATAACAATAATTTTACGCAACATTGCAAAGTTCATAAGTTAAAACAGTGCAATCAATAGGAATTCCTGAAGTAAGAGAAAGACGAACTATAACAACATTTTCTCTTTCCCTCAAAGCCTCTTTTCCGATTTGTAAACTTGCTGAGGAAGTGTTAAGATCTAAACAAATTATTTTAAATTTAGACCATAAAAATGAATGTATTGTCATCAAAACAATTTCACTTTTCATTGTAATAAATGCAAAAATTAGCAGTATGATTTGTGAAGAAACTGGACTTGTTAGACTTTTGTACTAGTTTTTCAGTAATTGGAACTATTTGCATTCAAGACGACTTTTACATCGCAAGTGTAATGTGTGAATTAAAATATAAAAAAAAACATGCTAGATATTACAAATGTCCCGTTTTTCAGAACTCTATCCGCCACAACCTCTCTCTGAACAAGTGCTTTGTCAAAGTGGCGCGTTCCAAGGATGAGCCAGGCAAAGGCGGCTTCTGGAAACTCGATCTGGAACGCCTTGAAGAATCCCGCCGTTCAAAACGCCGATCTAGCCTCACCGTCCGCGTCCCCAGAAACCGGGACACCCCCCATAAACCCGTCCGCAAGGCCCGTCGGTATCGTCCACCCCAAAGCACCGGCGAACGCAAACATAACATCCTGTCAAACATCTCGATTTGCGGCGAGACCGATATTGAAAACTGCGACGAGGACGACGAAAAAGACAAAGAAGTTAAAAATGACGAAATCATGCCGGTACCCAATCAAAATGTTATAACCGAACCGGTCAATCAGTTACTACCCGAGGATGAGTTAACCGGACTGCTACTAGCGACGAATGGTTGGGATGAATGCCAATTGGAGATGCTAGATTCGTTGCTGGATTCTTTGTAAATTGTCATTGTCATTTGTACACAGAGTGGTTTGTGCCTTCTTGTGTAGCACAGTGTGTTAATTTTTGTACAGTTGCTCTCGAAACTCTTCCGTCCAATATCTGAGATAGTTTTAGAGGATAAAATATTTTACTAAATATATTGTTAAGAGTGAAGTGAAACCGTCCAGTCGGTCGCACTAGTGGGTCTCCAGTTCGAACAAACGAATTACAGAGACCTGTTTTGCGACCGGCATTTGTTTGTATTATACACGCCTATTATTTATTTATTTTTGTTTGATCCTAGAATCAAATATCAGGATCTAGTCTTAGTTGAGATCTCTACTTTACCAAAAGGGTATTTTTTGTATTTTGACAAACTAATTAGGTCATAGATTTTGAACAAACTGTAAAAACTGTATTCTAGTCTTTTGCAATATTTGTAATTTTACACAGTTTGCTCAAATGCAGCAATATGATTGTATTCTACCATTCAAATAGAAGTGAACTGTATGGTGTAGTTTTAAATAAAACCACCAATTATTACAAAATAAATTTAATAACAGCTACACTGGTCTTGGAACAAATCGGACGAGCAGCACCGTCTCTGACTCAACCAGCAGTGATGTTTGATTATTTCAGCCGCGCGCTCCGCCATCATCATGATAGCCCCATTGGGGTTGCCACTGGGCAAAGTCGGTAAAACCGACCCATCGACCACATACAATTTATTCGTCCCTTTCACTTGAAAACTCTCATCGATTACTTGACCCAAAGCACAAGTGCCGACAGGGTGGTAACTTGACAAAGTAAAATGACGGACGTAACACTCCCAATAGGGCCTAGTGTCAAACCCAAATGCCTCACAACCCGGAAATTTGACTGGGTTCAACTTAGCCCCCAAACGACGCATTGGTGGAGTCTCCAAAAACTCCTTTATCAGTTCAATCCCCTCCAAAAGAATATCAATATCGTAATTCTCTGATAAGTAATTCGGATCAATCAATGGCGGCGTTTTGGGGTTTTTATTTTTCAGTCTCACAGTCCCCCGACTTTTGGGGTGCAAAACAACCGGAAGAATAGTCATAGTCGACTCGTTCACTTTCCGAAAATAACTCTCCCAGAGTTTTTCCCCGATACCTACCAAACTTCTCAAGTAGGATCCACCATCGATAGCAGCACCATACGGCAGAATCATAAACTGCAATTCGGGAACTTTCTCATTCTCACTATTAAAAAACGCGATATTTTCACAGCCTGGACTGGTCCATGGACCTTTCCCCAATAAAAAATATTTGAAAGCGCTCCATGGCGATAACATTTGTTTCACACCCATATTGGGGGGCGATTCGAGAGTAATAAGGTCTAGACCAGTAGTCACGTGGTCTTGAAGGTTGTCACCGACTGGTAAATCAACCCTTGGGGTGATTTTCATTTTTTCCAGGTGTTTTCTTGGACCAATCCCTGACAACATGAGGATTTTTGGAGACCCGATCACACCGGCCGAAAGAATGACCCCCTTGTTGGCTCGAACGTGGTAAGTCTCGTCCAAGTGGGTATATTTGACCCCATATGCTTCATAATTGTCTTTCAAGAGGACTTTTTCGACTAGAGAATTAGTTATGACGACTAGATTTCGTTTTTTGTTTTTTTCTAATTGGTGGTAAGGCGTCCAGCGCTGACCATTCCGCATTGTGACTCTAGTTGCCGAAAAACCTACAACTTTGTATTGATTTGGGTTAAAAATTGGTATAGTGTGTACCGGGTTCTGAGTTCACCCCATCTGATATTCCAAAGCCGAGACACAAACCAGCTTGCAAAAAATAATCCGATAAATTCGATTTAAATGGCATGTCTTCGACAAAAACCGAACATTTGTACTTATTTGTTTTGTTACTTTCTAGTTTTTGAAAATAGGGGAGTATGTCTATTGTGTAATTGTAATTACAGGAATCTTTATACCAGTTTGCGAAATCTTGAGGGTGGCCCCGAACATAAATCATATTATTTAACATCGCCGTGCCCCCCAGCATCTTCCCCATGGGCCAATGACTCACCTGTGCCAAATTAAATACTGTGACAGTTTTTAAACTACATGCTTACTTTTTTCTCAAGCCCCCAACAGGCATATTTCTGAGGCACTGTCCGATACTGCCAGTCAAAAACCGAGTCTTGTAACATGAGACCCACAGTGGGAATTTGCAAAATACCATTTCCACTAGCTCCAGCTTCAATTAACAAGACTTTTAGTTCAGGACTTTCAGCAAGTCTTCGGGCGACAATACTCCCTGCTGAGCCGCTACCAACTGTTTTATTTTAAGTAATTTAGTTAAAAACGTGTGTCTGTACTAACCTACAATGTAATCATAGGCATGATCCTTAAAATCCAGTTCTCTACAAGCGAAGCACTCAAAATAGTTTTGAAAATAGACAAATCTGAGATATAGCCCAAATAAATTAACAGCAAGGACGTAGATACTAATGAAAAATGCAGGAGTGGAACAACACATTATGTTTTATTCAATTTTACACGGGAATTTTGAAATGAAAAAGCCGAAAATTGTCAAAAGTGAAGTTATATCGAACAGAATGTGAGGTTAAAACCTTTTGTCAAAAAATTTAGATTATTTAAATGTTTGGACCGATTGTTGTAAAACACACGTAATGTTTGATTTCTACTAACTCACATGATGTACCTCTGTGTAGATATATCGTAAGTTGTTTAATTTAATTACAAGCCTAATTTAATTAATCGAACTTTGCTTACAGGTGTTGAAATCTGACGCAACATTTTGCTAAAACACTCGTTTACTTATGAGGTTTATCAATTGATAGATTAACCGGAAAATAACGGATCGATTTTGTTGATTTTTAGACCATTATAGTTTTTGTCAGATTTGAGGTTATGTGCCACATCTTCACAGCAAACCTCTCCTTAAAATGTCCACATCAGAAATGAAAAGAGAGATAATTGACGAACTGAATAAGAAGTACGGCAAAGATTTATTAAATTACGAAAAATGTAAAAACATCTTCAAGCAATTGCAACAAAAAAAGTCTGAGATTGAGAGAGAGGTTTCTAATGCCATTTACACAACTTTCTGTCTTATTCTTGTTTTTAGATAAATTTAAGTGATGAGTCATCTTCGATTGGTAAAGTTGTCAAAGAGGCTGAAATTGCTACAGAAAAAACAAATCTTTGTTTGGAAAAAACCACCGATGTTATTGATGAGATTAAAACAAATCTTGTTGAAATTGAAGATGTGAGAAGAGATGTGCAGAAGCGTCTCGACAAGCTAAATGCCTTGCAATCAACATTACAGTACTTAAGAGTCATACAAAGAATTGAATTTTTGAGGTTGGTTACCCTTTTCACTTTTTCCCTTAAGAAATAATCGAATTTTAGTGGAGAATTGGAACGTGAATTTAAGAAAAAAGACGATGAGCAGTGCGTCACAATTTTTGCAAACTTGTGCGAAATTAGCCGTAATTTAACTGACTTTCAAGGTACCAACTTAAGGAATTATCTTAAAGACACTCTACACTACTGGCATAACATACTCAGAGAGAAATTAGCGAAGTAATTGTTCTAACTAGTTAGTCAAGTCCTTATAGTTTATTTTAGGGATTTTGATGACGTAATGAAAGCATTGAAATGGCCATTCGTTAGTGCAAACTTCAGTCTTCAAACCCCCTCTTCAAATAACATTCTAAAATTACAAATTGTGGCAGAATATCTCCTCCAAATTGAACTTCCAAGTGAAACGGTTGATCCGAGAATAACTTCAGCCCTTTTGAGCGATTTTCCACCTCTTAGTCTGCCTGTCATGCTTCTAGTCCAGCCTTTAAAAAAGAGATTTTTGTACCATTTTTATGGGGCCCGTCAGACCAACAGGCCTGATAAGCCTGAATGGTACTTTACTCAGATTTTAACGTGGATCAGGGACCATTCCGATTTTTTAATCAAGTGGATACAGCCCGTTATTGATAAATTGGGGCTTCACCACATTGACGCTAAAGTAATTTTCTTTTTCTTTTTAACCGTTTCAGTTGAATTTTGCTTTGTAGTTGGAATTCATCAGAGGCCTTGTCCAATTAGCTGTAGAAAAATTAAATTCAGACCTTCCAAACTTACAATTTGACGATTTCACTTTTTCGCACTCTATAGATGAGGCACTTGGCTTTGATAAAGAATTGCGTGAAACTTACAGTTATCCACCGAATCAACCGAGTGTTTTAGCCGTTTTAACTCAAGCTAAAATTATTATTAAATGGATGGCCATGGAAAAAAAATGTGAGTTGATTTCAGATAAGTCGGTTTAAAATTATTTCTTTTATTAGATGCCACAGAAAAAATGGACGCGATGATGTCTTCAACCACAATTGATCCTTTTGAGCCTCTAACTTATGATATCGAAGATTTAAAAATTACAACATGTGCTGATGCTTTTATTACGCTTCTTCAGACAATAACAGAACGTTACGAGGCTTTACCACAACCCGGACATCGTTTGCAATTCCTAGATCTTCAATTGGAACTATTGGATGATTTTAGAATAAGATTGTTGCAATTGGTTAACGCAGAACATGAAAATATAGTCGAATCGAAAATTCCAATGATTGCTAACACTATTTATTACATAGAAAATGTTTTAATTGATTGGGGAGCAATGTTGGTACGACTGAAGCTCATTTCTAATTGCGCGACTTGATTGGTTACAAGTGACTAATCAAATCAGATATTACAAAACTTTCAGCCAATCAAATCGCACTATTGCGACACTATACTAACTCATTTTTTTCAGCACTATTTGAATTTATATTACTACAAAAGTCAACTGAATGATTATAAAGCACCCACAAGTCCTTCAAGTGACTCCGACGACTATGACCCCACGAATATAGAAAGTGAGACCGTTTTTGCCGAAACTTTATCACTTTACAGACACATGAGACGCGACTTGTTATTTAATTTATCAGATTATGTCATGTTAGAAGTTAGGTCACAAGGTAAAGCATACAGGAGAGAAAGATGGTCTTCTATGAAAGTCGGTAAAGATATCAAAGGCCTATCTTTGACCCCCACAGCTTGTCCTATTTTTGAAATCGTGGCTAAAAGATTACACCAACTGCAAAAAACTCTAGCTTCGAAACTATTTACGATACTTTGGCGATCAATTGCACAACAATTAGATAATTATCTTTTTGAGGATCTCGTTTTGGATAATAGGTTTAACAGTGGGGGCGCTCTACAATTAAAGTATGATATAACGAGGAATTTACTTCCATTGTTTTCACAATATACTGAAAGACCAGAAACTTATTTCGTTCAGTAAGTTATTTCTTTTCCATTGAGGGTGGAAAATAATAAAATGTTGCAGGATGATTGAGGCTTGCAATCTTTTGAATATAACAAAAGGATCAGCTTTGCTACTACGGGAGACTCTCTTGGCCCTTGAGGGGGCCACAGGTATTGAAGATTCACGAGGGAGAGCTCTTAAAGAAGTTGGAGTGGTCAGTTTTACCCCAAAAATGGCTGTTAAAATTCTAAACCAACGCACCGATATTACAATTAATAGAATGGATGTTGATTAATGCATTTATTATACGTTTTGTTGAAATATTTTGTAATAAAGTATTTGTTCTCATAATTGAGCTTCATTGAATCATCCTGTAAATATTCAGTAATTTTCTTGGGGAATTTGGTTCCACGTGGTTGTCAGCTCTTAGACAAATGGCGTTTACTTGTTGAAGGTGTGAAATATTAGTGAAACAAGTCCAGCTCTAAAAAACAATAATAAGTGCAGTGAAGTTACCATTAATTGCTAGTTACATAATTAAGGGATCGGACAATGGCCTCAAAGGGAGGAAAATACAATAAACCGTCGTGGAGAAGCCAATATAGTGGTAAGTCACATTGCATTCCACGCGATTTGTTTAAAACGCAATATATTATCAGAGCACGACTTTCGTGGCGGCAACGACACCCGCAAAGTGAGTTTCAAGTCAAACAAGTATAAAAAAGACAATAGGAATTGGGCAGCAGCGGGTAGAGCTTACCTGGAAGATGAAGATATCGACATGGGGGGCTCGTCCGGGGGTGGGCGAAATTTTAATAGGAAACAATTCAAAGGTCGACGGGGCGCTCGTGGAGACTCCCCGGCACCTAATCACAAGAAGCGGCGGCTTTTGGAGGGCCCTATGAGCTGGTTTCGTGTGACGGTAAGTAAGGAAGAAGGGTGTGTGTTTTTGGGTTTTATCATGTATTTCGGTAGTTGCCTTTTGGGAATAAATACGAGAAATCGTTTATTTTGAAGACGCTGCTTGAGAAGATTCAACCTTTGCCCTTATGGCCAATTACGGTAATTATTTGTTTGTGTGAGAATTTTTGAATTGATTGTTTGTCTCTAGTGGAGTGTAAACGGGACAACTGCGACTTTTTATGTGGACGAATTTAAAGTAGCGGAAAAGTTACACGATTTAGATCGCCAGATTCAAATGCCTGACGGATTTAGGTTGCTGATTAAAGTCAGTAATGGGATTCCAAATGTTGACGTAAATAGTCAGATGAAAGAGAAAATTAAATTAACGATGGCGAAACGGTACAATGCCGCTAATAAAGCTTTAGATTTAACGAAATTCCACGCCGATCCTGACTTACAAGATTGTTTTTGTGCACTCTTTAAACCAATCGTTTTCATAACCGTTTTGGAAATAATCGCGGAAAATATTCCAGAAATTGAGGCGATAAATTTATTTGATAACAAAATAGCAAACTTGTCATATTTAAAGAAGACTAATGAGAAACTGCCTCATTTAAAAATCTTACATGTAGGAAATAATAAGGTAATGTTTGGTTATCAGGAATTTTATAAAACATTGAAATTTAGTTTAAGGATCTCTCAATGTTGGACCCTTTTATTGGACTACCTATCATCGATATTGTTTTAAATGGAAATCCATTGTGCAACAAATACAAAGACCAAGAGGCGTACATTGGGTAATGTTGAACTAATTTATTTTTTGTAGTCATCTTGTTATGAACGTGAATGAATATAAGGGTGATTGATTAAAGGAGAATATCACTTGAATAAAAAAGAGGTTTTTCTGACAATAATGGAATTAAAAGCAGAAAAATAAAACCGGAATTTGTTGTAAAGCAAAATTTCAAAGTCGTAAATTTTCGCGACAATTCATTTAAAACTAAAGTAGGATTACATGGGGTTTCATTGTAGCTGAATTCTGCATTTGGCAACTTTTTCTTATTATTTTAAAGCAATTAAGTCACTGAAGAGTAGTAAAATGATAAAAAAAGGTCACAAAGTACAAAACTTAAACATTTCCGTGAGATTATATATTTTTTTGTTTTATTTAAATGAGAGGAGATTAAGGTAAGGTGCGCTTTTACAGTAGTCATAAAACTTCGTTGAAAATGATATGTGAACAAGCATTGCAAGATTTTGCTGTTCATAAACAATGCAGTGATTGTAAGAAGACAGAAAAAATACATGGAGTGGAGCACAACACTTATATGTGTATAAATGAAAAAAAAAGCTCTGTTTATCAAGCAGACTACCTTTTATTGCACCTTAAATAATAAATGTCTCCTCAACAAAATTATTCTCTTTTTTTTTTGTTATATAATAATCTTGTGGAACTGTTACAAAAAATAATAAAAATAAATACTGTTAGAAAAGTTACAAACTTTATGCTCTTCAATGATGTAGTTTATTCAAAATTTGGTATTTTTGTTGTTTAATGCAGAAATAATGTAAATTGTTGTGACCGTGTAATGCTGTTTTAGTTTTGAATTTACGAAGTTCGTTGGGTTTCTTTGAAATTATGTAACAACTTTCTTTATCGGTTCCAAGATTGCAATGGCCTTTAGAGGTTTAAATTCCCAAAGCAACAAACTACAACGAATTTTTTACTGCTTTTGGAAACACTTTTGTTGACAAATTTTTATAGAAAATTAAATAAAAAGAACACGAAATACTTTGAGATTTTGTATTCTAAATTTTACAAATAAATGTGTTGGGGAAAGAGAAATGCCAGAAAATATTTTAAACTATTTATCTAACATTAAGTCAGAAGCTGTGAGATGATTATAATTGCATGTGTGAAAAAAAAAGTAATAGTTATCCATATTTATTGAAAAAATGCAAACCGAATCTTTTTTTACTGTGACAATATTATACCTTTTCGTAAATATTTTCTATACAAAATATTTTTTCTCACCAATAAAGTGACGAGGGTCTTTAATTGTTTCATCTCTTGCGTTTCCTAACGTTCCAAAAATAAAAGTTTTAATTTTATATTATGTAGTCTAAAAAATCCACTACATTTCGCACAATCAAAAAAGAAAAAGCAGGACAAAATTCCTGTAATAAAAATGGACAATTTTCATCACAGTTGTTCCTATTGGTGCTTCATCCAAATTGGAACAGGTGTATAACATAATAGTATCCTGTTGCACCATTAGGAGATAATAAAAACTCTTCCTTGCACAACTTCATACTTCAAGTAAAAAATAAAATCCTACACAATTATAAAAGCCATAATGTTCCATGCTTCAATGTACAAGATCTAACTTCGAATACGATTGATTTCGAATTTTTGAAACATAGAAAATAGTTCTTGTGAGATAAGGTGTTAAAGTTAAACTTTCTTGAATAAAAAAGTCTTTGATTTCTTATGGTTATAACCGTCGCAAATTTATTATAATGACGAAATCTATTCCAGACCACATTAAATTCTTACTGTTTTATTCATCACATATCACTATCAGTCATATCATTGTTTTTTTTTTAAGATTCGCACAGTTTTAAGTCACAAAACATAAAAAATAATCCACAGTTTCTGGGTTTACTTAAATGAAGTAAAACAAACTTCTGAGTTTTGTCAATATTTTTTGTTTATCTGATCACATTTCTCTTTCCTTTCACATTACCTCAAATATCGCTTAAAGAAATCGATAGTTTGTTAGTCTTAGTTCCATTTTGACTAAAACCTCTTATTTTTCATCTAAACATAAATGCTGAGCAAATCTCCATCTCCATTGTTAACACCTTCGGGTGACTTCTTCTCTTTCCGCAGTGAAGTCCGCAAACGCTTCCCCAAAGTAATGAAATTGGTAAGTTTATTAATTTTTTATTGTTTACCCAATCAAAAATAAGGTTCAAAGGACGGAATCGATCTACCCCCACCAATAAGTTTCGACATACAGGAAGAAACCCATTTACCAACAATCCAACAAACATTTTTATGTAATCAAGAAGGCGAATCAATAGTTCGACAATTCCTGGAACAGTATTTTCTAATTTTCGATTCGGAAAATCGACAACCTTTATTACAAGCATATCACGAGAGTGCCCTCTTTTCAATGACCATGTCGTATCCATATGGGCAAAGAGACAAAAATGCCAGTTGGCTTAATTGGTACACTACCGATAACAGAAATCTGCAAAAGGTTCAAGACCCAGATAGGAGACATAAATTACTGAAACAAGGCCAAGTCGCTGTTGTTTCATTTTTACAAGAAATGCCGCGAAGTAAACACGATATTCATAGTTTCACGGTTGATCTTGTTGTTTTCACGGTAAGTCGAGTGTTTTGGTTTTGTCAAGTTGGTAATAAAGTTACTTCAGCCACAAATGATCGTTTTGACGGTTACCGGAATGTTCAAAGAACTGAAAAGTGGACACAAAGTGCCTCCGACCCGAGCTTTTTTCAGGACACTCGTTATAGTACCTGCAGGATCAGGTTTCTGTATTTCGAATGAAACTCTACATATAACAAATGCCACAGATGAGCAAGCCAAGGTTTGTTGATTTAATTGTGTTTTCAATTTTTAATTGATTGGGTTAGAACATTTTCAAAACTGTGGTTTCGGCCCCACCTCCTACTCCAGTGGCGTCACCTGTGGCAACACCGGCTCCTATTGACGAGGCAACGAAACAACAAATGGTCACAGCAATGGCCGAACAATCTAATATGAATCTCGAGTGGTCTCGAAGGTAAAATATAAAATGTGGATTTATGTTATGCTAATTTGATTATTGTCAGATGTTTGGAGGAAACCCAGTGGGATTTTACACGAGCGTTGAGTGCGTTTGCAGGTGCACAAAAACAAGGACTAATTCCGCCTGAAGCGTTCGTTAAATAGTGTAATAAATTAAATTAAGTCATCATGGGAACCTTTAAATGTTGTTCGTTTTATAAAATATGTATTTGATAATGTTTATCATTACTTTTATTCGCCTTTATACTGTTTGTAAATAAAAAAACAGATTATGTTTGTGAATGAATAAGTTAATTTCAATGAAACCATGTAGTTATTTTTTATAATAAATAGTCCATAAGAAAAAGGTTTTTTTTTGGGGGGGGGGGGTCACTTGGGGTAATTTATGCCAAAAACGGATTTACTGAAAAAAGTGATCTGACGTGTTATTTAACACACTTGTGCGAAGGAAATAGGAAAGCTCTGCTCTCATTTAATATCAGAAACATAAAAGAGTAATAAAATGTCAAGCAGGTTTATTTATTGGATGAGGGGTTCGGAGTTAATGAAGCTATTATATTTATATTTCAATAATTTTGGGCTTGGAATTATCTGATACACACCTTGTTTAGAATTTACTGGATGATTTAGGACTGTGTGCTTTTTATTCTTAAACTTAAACGAGGATTTTATTAAAACATACAGGGTGAATATAAAGTATGGAACCAAGCGTTTTTTTTTAACATTTGCTTCCAAAAAAATAATATAAATTAAAGTAATAAAAAAATGTGATCAAATTTTGAGTATGAAATTTTGTTGTTTTTTTTGTCAACATGGCAACTTTTGTAAAAAAAAATTGCTAAAAATTAAATACAAAGTAGATAGTTCTAATTTCTTGATCATGACCTTCATGAGAAAAATGGTTTTATAGTAGGTTGCCATTTAAAAAAATAAAAAAATACAGAACTTAAAAACAAAAGAAAATAATTAGTTTAAGTAAAAAACGTTTGGTTTCATACTTTTTATTCACCTGGTATGTTACATCACTATTTGGAAAAAAAATTCTGGAAATCAAAATTATTAGATCATCAAAATTATCAATCTGTGATCAGCAATAGTTTATTGTGTCATTAGGAGTAAAAGTGATAGTTTATAATGACGAAGCTGAACGTTAATTTTGGCGAACGTAGTGAGTGGGTGTTCGGCCCAAGTCGCCCCGGCTGATAACACCTAAACTTACTTCTTTTTATCAAAAAGTAAATATTTAAGTAATAATATTCATTCTTGGCTTTCTTAATAAATGTGTCAATTTTTTTTAGCACATCCGGTATTGCCTGAAATAGTACCAATGTAAATAGTACCAATGAATGTTCTGTTATCAGTCGAAGAAAATCCAAGAGTTTCCATAAGAGAACTCGCTCATCAACTGACAAATTAGATTTGTCAAACCAACAATTAAACTGTATCCAAGCTTTTTTTATTCACACGCTACGCGACCAATTTCCTTATAAAATTTTAAGATTTAAGATGTTTTTTGATTGCATTGTGTTTCGCAAAATGTAATAAATAGTGGTTTACAGTATTTTTCATGTCAATTATTATTGTTTGAAGAAAAAAAACATAGGTGTTCCATTTGAAAAACTAAATTTGGTAGCATTTCCGGCTACACCGGATGTGCCAAAAAAATTTGATGCATTTACTAAGAAAATGGGGAATGAATAGTATTATTTCATATATTAGTTTTTGAAAAAAAAAGTAAGTTTAGGTGTTATCGGCCGGGGCGACTTGGACCAAACACTCTGTATAACATTTTATCCGCAAACGTATTCAGATCAAGGATAAAGAGCAACACTACAATTAGCAAGTAAATGAACAAAACCAATCATACCGCTTTGCAAGTAATGAAATCATAAAAACGCGTCAATACCTATCAGTATCGGAATTTGTATTGAGATTTTCGAGTTTCAAGTGTTTATTAATTTAACTAGTGGATGAATAGTGCAGTTAGTTGTGTAAAATGTCGAATGCTGATAATCTATAATGTACCTCTTCAGAAATTGCTGAAGTAGCAAAAGAGGAGGAAAGAAACAATATTGGTAAATGTCAATAATGTCATGGTAAAAGTAAAAACGCTTAGGCATAAAGATAGAATTTTTACTCCATGCTTGAATGTGACATTTAGTCTTAAAAGTAGTGACTTTTGTGAAGTTTGCAGATAAAAGATTTTTTTATTAGATTTTTATGATCTGAAAAGTAATTTTATACACCCATCTAATAAGATTACAAAATTTATGTTAACAAGTGGAGACAAACAATAAACTTACGCAAATAAACAAACTTTTGACATAACATAACTATAAATTTATACTTGAAAACAGATAAATTAGAGGACCACCATTTTAAGTGGATTATTATTATATTTCTTTGTTTTTACTACTCTCCGCGTTATTGCGCTCTTCTACGAGAGCAATTTGTGAACATCTTCAGAGATAAGAGCCTTATTAACGAAAATTACCTTCAAACACTTTCTAAATTTCAATTCATTGTTAACGATTTAATCCGCGTTTGCAGTGACAAAAAATTACATTAATTCGAGCAAAAATTAGTTTAAAACGTCACCACATTTTTTGTTACGCTACAAGACTGATCTTTATTGATATATCAAAATTCACATAAAATAGTTTTGGCTTCTTAACCATAAAAAAGCAACCCTCGTACGATGACAAAGTTTCATTCATTCTTTATTCATTTCAATCATTTTTTACGAAAAAGGTAAGTATAAACCAATTTGATAACGCTTACGACGTGTTTTTCACAAAAAAGTATTACAACGAACAGTTATTCTATTGTATATATTTTTTGTCACAAACTCTAGTACAAACTGCATATCAGTTCTATAAATTACAAAAACTGATAGTGTTTTATCCAATTTTGGTGCGACACAAACTTTTACCCCAAAAAGAAAAAAAACGAGTCGAGCATTAATTGTTCCGAAAGTTTCTGGTTTCAGTTCATTAATTACTTGAATTAACTTTATTTTACCGATTTCGGAATAAAGTTTCCAGTCTGGCATTTTTACAAAATTAATTGCATTTCGTACAAAAAACTATAATAATTAAAATATTAATTTTTGATAATCTCCACAGAGTCAGAACAAATTTAAATTGTAATTCGAATCAATATTTTTTTTAATGAACAGAAGTGGAGCCTGTGATTGATTGATTCGTCAATTTCAAACGCCATGTCCCAGACTGTGCGAGAATGAAACAAAGAGCCTTGTCTCTGCATTATTCACTCTCTTCACTGTCTCTCCCATTTAATAATCGTTCCTCGGAAAAACTCGTCACAATCTTAAATAAATAATTCAGGATCCTCGTCGTCGAAATGGTGGATGCGCCGGGTGACCCTTCTTTTCATCAGTCTCAGTTTCTAATCTCACTTCGTAGTGCGGCTTATCACATCTAAGACCTCGTCCATCCCTGGCCCTCTGTTCGTAATCGTTGGCGGCGTTTACCATCCCCTAGGGCATTGAAACTTTGATAAAAGCAAAGCCCAGCTTCGATCGAGCTTCCCGAATTGCGCGTAGCGATGCGCACCACGATCGCAAGCTCTGCCCGGCACCTCAATGTTTACAGTCTTAATCGGTTTATTGCCGTATTTTATTGTTTTATCGACGCTTCGACGATGCCGTCGACGCCTCTAAACACCCTCTAGGAGTTTCGATGATGCGTAAACATCACCCGGAATCATAATGTGAGTAGTTTTATTTTACTACACAGAAAAACGAATGTCGGCTTTTAGGTTTTGGGAAGTTGCGACCACGTTGATGTTGGTCGCTTGTACACAACAGTGCAAAAGGACCGAATTTAGATGCAATAATGGCAATTGCATCGCGAGCAATAAATTCTGTAATGGCTTGCAAGACTGTACCGACGGCAGCGACGAATTACCCTACTGCACGCGTAAGTACCACTTTTTAAATCTATTTCACCAAAAATTCGTTATTAAATACCATTACGTGAGCCTCGAAATGAAAACAAAATAATTACGATATGCTCCAGGGTAATAATCCCGGCAAATCGGTTTTCAATATCGTGTTTCCGGAATAAAAGTTTTAATTAAAATTTGATTAGTAAGTTTGAATACCTGTCACGTTTTTGCACATTGCATAAAAACTGATTAATGTAGCGATGAATGGAGAAAATTTCTTTGGAGTTAGGGATTTGGATAAATCATTTTGTCAGCAGTTTTTGGGGTTGTTAAGTCACAAAAACTGTTCAAGCGTAACTATAATTGAGTTCGTTACTATCCGTCCGCTTCATAAATTTTCAAAATTGGGGAAGTTGGGTCTCTCCAACTCACACGAGTCATAACTCACATTATACACTTTGTACTTGGCAAAATTTTTATTTAAACACTATACAGGGTGATTTTAATATAGGTGCAGAAATTTTAATAGGTGATAGTGGAGGACAAAAGATGCAAAAATAACTCAACTTACCTTACTCTAATGTTTATAGTTTCCAAGATAGAGAAACTTTTAGTCGCCGAATAAATTTAAATTTGACGCACAGTCTTAAACTTTACCAACAAACATACCAGATGAATAAAAAGTATGGAACCAAGCGTTTTTTCGTAAACTAAGCACTTTACGAAAAAAATAATTCGTGTAGCGTAAGGTACAATTAAAATGTGACCATTTATCAAGAATAACATTTTTCGAAATTTCTTTTAGTTTTCGATAAATCGTCACATTTTAGTTGTACTTTACGCTACACTAATTATTTTTTTCGCAAAGTGCTTAGTTTACGAAAAAACGCTTGGTTCCATACTTTTTATTCACCTGGTATGTGTTTTTACATCAATTTTTGTTGTTAATACCATCGAAATTGTATTACTTCAAATGTCACCAATGCAAACTTTGGAATCAAGTAAAGTCGGTTTTTTATTTAAATGGAAATGTCAAACAGTCTTAACGTTGGCACCACTAGCAAATTCATTCATGGTAATTTTAATAAAAGAAGTTGGCAGTTTCGGTTCTTGATTTAATTTGAAAACAATGTCTTTAAACGTCAACAAAAAAATCGTCTAAGAAAATTTAGAGACGAAAACACAAAAACGAGGACAAAGTCGGTATCGCCACAGTTTTTGGAAATTTTGAGACGAAAAGTGTGCAAGCAGAAGTCAGAAAAAGACCATCGTGAAAATTTAGACGCAATTTATACTGCAGGTTTGTTAAACATTCTCTAATTTTAGCGAGAAATCGACAAGAATACAAAATAAACATGAATGAGAAATAACAAAATTGAATTAGTGTCTGGTTTCACCGTTTTTGAGGAACCAGTTGAAAAAATAACAATTTTGAAACTAAAGCGAGAAAAGAAATTAGAACATGTCTCAACTTCGTGCTCATTTCGATAAATTACACAAAATTTATTGTCTATCTTCGTAATACTGCTTGTTTCGTTTTTTTTTCTATATAGACATCATTTTTCATTAAAATGTTTATAGCAAGAAGCTCATTTTTGCCTACAATTTTATTAGAATTCTGTTTTTAGACCTCCGATAATGTTGTCTGTTCTCATGTATTCATTTATAACGCTTCTAAAGGGCAAACAGGCACACAAGATTCATAAAAGTCAATATTTTGACAACATCTCAACATGAAAACATAGCCATAATTTTTTAAGAAAATTTCTAGGGACAAAATCAAAAACCAACAAAATTTGGGGTTGTGGAGATAAACTGCTACCAATTTTTTCACCAAAATTTTGACTTGGTGATTTCCATTTAAATACTCAAAAGATACTAAAATGTAGATTACACCTTCTATGTATACACCTTTCAGAAACTATAAAGATTCGGATAAAACAAGTTGAGTTATTTTGCCTTCTTTATACAGCAATAATTTAAAAAATTACTAATTATTTCGTTGAAAATTTCAATTTCCTTTCATTATTCTTTTGACAATGTTTTCGCTTTTTTAGCAAATTACGTTTTATATTTTGATATGAAAATTTTATCAGCAATTTACAAACTCTTTGTTTGATTTCTAAACAAATGTTGACTTTGGATCGCACAAAATACACGCCTTAGAGAATAATAATTCTGCCTTGTCGATTTTTTCGTGAGTACATTTATTAAAGTTTGATCAAATTTCAATATTTGGTTTGTCCTTTTTTCTCGTCAGATTTGTTTGATAAAATAACAAAATCGTTTATTTCATAAATCGATAAAGCTTACAAACAAAAACTAAATTTCCTGTGATTACGGAATACTTCAAAATGGAACACAAATTCTTACGATATTAATAAATTTTTGAAATTTTTGGAATATTTCCTCTGTGAAGTATTAACAAATCGCAGTTGGGTTTAAATACCCATGAAACGTCACAATAATACTTACAAAATTTTAAAACTCTCCCAAGTTCAATTAAGAAACGCTTAGCATAATAAAAATGAAATACTGTATACATAACAGAGATTAAATTGAACTTTATTCGTTTAAAAGTTTATGTTGAATAAAACTCGATTAATCTTACCCATAATTTTATTTCTTTAGGGTTAATATAAAAACAATTTACAAACTTTTATAACATTTTAAATCACTTTTTATTTCACAAATTTTACCAACTTTTTATGGTGCATCACGGAACCAGAATAAATTATTTACGGAAAAGATAATTGAACCTTCCGAGTTTTTGCTAATGTTAATTATGCTTTGACTAAAATTAGACTGGTTATACCTACTCGTATACCTATTCTACAAAGGTCACAGGGTATATGATCGATTTTAAGCAAAAAACATTTTGATACATTTTGTTTAGTTGGTAATTAGTAGTGACAGTTCTGTCACCTATACTAACTTCTAATCACGAAATTCACTGTATTTTATTGAAAAGTTTTATTTGTCAGATTATATAATTATGGATATCATAAAATATATAAACTTGACCCTGCATATTTTATGAACGTTTTGCATGTTTTAAAAAATAATTAATTCTACTCCCTCCGTTCCAAAATAAGTGTCTTTATCGTTAGATAAATTTTTATCGGTTACACCAATCAGATCAGCGCTATACCTTAATAACTATCGAAACGATAAACTTTATTTAATGTTAAGTTGTTCCAGAAATTTATGAATTATTAAAATAATGGCATTAAAAGTATCGAGAGATCAAGATAATATGTAATCGAGTCATCCTTGGATCCGAAAACATATGTCTGTGAAATGTAAAATAAAATGACAAGTCGAAAGGTAAAATGGCATGATCAAAAAGATGATGATTTTAATAACTAAATTTATGATTTAACATAAAAAAGAACGGTCCTATTCCAGCTACTTTTGCCATTCAACTTGTCATTTTATTTGACGTTTCACGTGTTCAAAAACAGACATACGTTTCTGGATCCAAAGATGACTCAATTACAAATTATCTGGATCTCTCGATATCAGTAGTTATTTATCTACATAAAGAAAGAAGAAGTAAATTTCTAGCCTCTGAAATTTGAAATGTGTATGTCAAAATAATATTTTTCTATTTCGGTGTAAAATGCAACTTTGCGTATGACACTGTTTTTAGAAACATTTTATACACACTTTTACCATCATTGACTGTGGATACAGTCGTTTTCAACTGAGAAATTGTTGTAGATCAACGTATTTCACCGAAACTAATGCATTTGAACTATTTTCAAGCAATTACGTCAAATGTCAAAAATTTAGCTGTCAAATATAATAATAAATTCAATTTTAAACGCTCAATAGAAAAAAAATTGTATAAAACGCGTATTACAACTTCTCATTGTGATACTCGTGCATTTGTAACACAACGAGAGTGTTTGTAACACTTGTTTTTTAAAATACTATTTAAGTAAACAAACATACATAATTTTGTACAAATTGTTAGTTTGGTTTTTAGTCGCTGACAATTTGTCTAAGGTAAATTCGGATTAATTTCGTCATGACAAAAACTATCCAAAAAGAGAAAAACCTAATTTGAATAGCGGCCAACACAATGTAGTTTGTTCCGAACCCTCAATTCAAGTAACGCGTTAGGAACTTTTCCAAGTTTAGTTGTGAAAATACACGTTATTTTGCATATTTTTTTATAAAATCGGACACTTAGTTTGGAACAAATAAAATTCCTTAATCGGACACTTATTTTGGAACAGAGAAAGTACTAAAATATTCAATATTTGTTTCAACAACATCCAATTTGTAATTCTGCTACTTTCTATCCCTTTGTTTAGCTTGCAACGCCACTTATTTCGGCGAAATCGGCCGCACTTACGAGTTGGAAGTGAAGAGGCCTACCGAATACCAAATGCCCTTTTTGTGTTATCTCAATTTCACAGCTGGTGGCGGCGTGTTGGGCGAACTCGTTCAGGTAATAGCACTAATGTCCCCATTCGTGGTATTTTATCACTCCATAGGGGTAGATGCCTGAATTATTAAATTTAATTGGCTTGATGCGCTCGCAAATGCATGAAATTGGAAAGCCAATTATTTTTAGTGCGGGTGTATGTGGGGAGGAAGCTCGAGGGATGAGACTATTAAATAAAGCTCGAGTAAATTATCTTAATTGCCCTCGATTTGCTCGCTAATGAGGAACGTGATTTTTTACATTTCACTGTAATAAATCAAACGAGGCTAATTTTAATCATATCCGAGTTAGAGCAATAAAACTGTTCCAATTGGGTGAAATATGAAACAATTTTATCGGCTTAATTTCGAATATCGTAAACAAATTTGCCTCATTACATTTTATTATGTCATAAATAAGCTTTATGAGATTAATATTCTGTGTTTAGCTTACTTTTGAATCGTTTGCTGTTGGAACGTTTGAGTCGTTCACCACCGAGGGATGCCCTGATGGATTTATTTCAATTAAAGAAGGAAATCGACCGACTTCAGGTGGCAAATGGTGTGGAAGCGCCTGGGGTTATACAGTGTACTACAGCGAAACCCCCAGTGTAAATCTTTCGCTGAGACTCGAACGGTTCCCTCAACAGGTAAACAGCAACAGTTTGATTTAATCATTTTTCTTAATCATTTAAATACAATTTGCCACGAAACACCTGTTACAAGGTTTCACTTTCTTTCAAAGTTCTAGCATAAAATTGGGAGCTAACTCATTTTAAAACTTAAAACAAACTAAAATTAATTGGATTTCAGTTCTCACTGGGAAATTAATCACAACAAAATTAATTTGTAATAAAATGGGTTATTATTGTTTTAACATTTTAATCCAAATTGAAACAACAATTACATTTTGGAGTAGTTTTTCACTATTATATTGCAAACAGGGGTGGACTCAAGTCATGCATTATAATAAAGATTTTAGGAATAGTTAATTATTTCTAATTTCTTCCAAAATATGGTTGATTTGACCTTTGCAGTAAAAAGAAGTTCTGAAATTTTATTTATGAAAAATCATAAGTATGAGAATTAGGAATATTCCTTCTGATGATTTAAACAATTGCTTAGAGAATTTTGTTTAGAAACTTTGCCATTGTTGAGAAATGTCTTTTGTAAATATAAATTTTATTTGAGTTAATTAACTCATCATTATTTTGTTTGTTGGGTTGTCTTTATTGTAACGGGTGTTTATTTAATTTTGGCGTCATAGTTGGCGATGATATGAGTGTGTTGTGAACGGACCACAATTTTTAATACGCCCGGCGAGGTGTCAAATGTCAGTCTAATAACTTTTAATGCGATGGTTTGTTCACAAAAAACACCTGTTACTTTTCAATTTACATTTTATCATTTTTTACAATATTTTACACTAAAATTGCTTTTCATACTCGTCCTTTTTAAATTTTTGTTTGTTTTTTAATTGTACCTTTAGAAGAGACAATGTTGTGATGAAAAGTAACGAACGTTTTTTTTTTTTAATTTGGGTGACTATGAGCTTGTTGTGAACGAATTTTTAATACGCCCAACTACGGATACTTAAAGATTAAAAAAATTGTCGTCAGTTTTTCACAGCCTATTAAGAATGTAAAGCTCAACATTTTTGCTTTTTTTTTTTCAATCATTCAGTAAACTGGTTAAATTTAAATTAATTTAAAATCGTTTAGAGCGCTCAAAGCGCCCCCATTTTTACTCTGCGTACTATTTTTTTTTTGTGTACAGAAAATCGAGTGATTTTTGTATTTAACACCCATTAGATTGAGTCCTGCATCAAAAAAACGTCAACTTTTCAACAATAAATATCAACGCAAGTCTAGAAAAAAACATTTTGAAATATGAAACTGTTTCAGAACTTTTGGCCACTTGTATCCAGGGTATACGGTCTTGCGGTTGAAATTTTAAGTTGTTATGCATGGTAGAAAAAAAATACTATTGATATAAAATAAAAATCATGTAAAAGTAATAATTAATTTTACATTATTTGTTAAAGAACTGCTGCTTTAACTTAAAACAAGGGTGCTTCGCCATAAAGCATTGAAGAAAGAAACTCAGAAAAAATACAAATCAAACCTTGAAAACAATTTTGTTTTTAGAAGTAATCAAACAAAAAATCTTTGAATTTAAATTTTAATAAGAAGTAAAGTTGATTTTAATCAAATAATGACAGTATCAAAACTACGACGTAACTTCTTTCTTCCAATGCGTGGTTCGATTTTCTTATCATTTGCAACAATGGAATTTTATCGTAACAAAGGAATTATTCTAGTGACTCTCAAACCTTGTACCAAGTAAGAATTCCATGAGTTTTTTTTCTCGATAACACTGTTTTTACACTCTTCCACTGCCAAAACGATTTTCAATTCCAAGACCGTAAACAACCTGTATTTCTATACTAAATAGTCATAAATGTTTAAATATTTGGCAAAGTAACAGTACAAATTTTTTGATTTGAATTTGAATGATTTTGATATTCGGTCTCGTAATGATTTCAAAATCCGACGCCTATGAATTATAATAATGTAAAAATGAAACTTGTATAAAAAACAGTAAAACAGTATTTTAGTAATTTTAACAAAATCTTTTTTTTATGAAAATTAGGGGTTTTAGTAAAAACTGATCTCTGTCCTGTGTGAAGTTTAAAAATTTTCGAGAATAAAATACTTGAACAAAAGTAAAAATAGGAAATAGAATATCAATACAAAAAATATTTAGATAATATGGAAATGAAACAATTCAGTAAAACCTGAGGTCTTTTTTTGTAGTAGAAAGAAAAAATGCATTTTAGTTGTTATACCCTATTGCTTTAGATAAAAAAAAATCAGCTTGTTTACCATTAGCCTAACAAAACAGTTAAATTTTTTCAGTGTTACCAACCAACCATTTTTGCATTATTTGTAGCAGAGCTCAGGCTACACCTTCGAGTTCAAATTATCGTACAAATTCCTGAAACTAAGCGACGCCCGTATCCGCTACGGCAATGCAACGCAACGTTCTTACCGCGGCAAATTAAGCACAGGAACCTACTGCGACCGACTATTGGAAGGCTGCTCACGTCGGCCGTGTCGCATCCAATCCCCTAATTATCCGGGGATTTACCCTCGGAACGTCAGCTGTCATTATCGAGTCCGGGAACGCAATGTTCCTCCCGGAAAACACGCTCTTATCGCAGTCCGACAACCGAATTTCCACTACAAGGAACATTTACCCAAGTTTGATAACAGTGACAGAGTTTTGAGGTAAATTCATTACACTGTTGCCAACCTCCTTTGGTGAAAAATTCGTTTTACAGGATATGGGATCAGTGTAATATGATGCAAGATTATATCGAAATTTTGGACGGATGGGGACCAACAGCTACAACGTTGGCACACCTGTGCAGCGGGGAGACAGTGCCGGAAATTATAAGCAGCGGACCGGAATTGTTAGTCAAGTTTCACACCTCGCCATTCGGAAACCCCTTCCACCCACTACCCCTATCGTATCTGCCCGGATTCGAGCTCGAAATTGAGGTGGGAAGCACGTACTAATGTAAACACTGTTTGACATAAATGACAAGCTGATATGGCTGTTATTATGACAACGGCACGTGACCTAATTAACAACCATTATTAAGTTGGTGCGACTGTCTTTCACCTGTCAATGTCACTCAGATACTACTGACAGCTATACCAACAGATGGGATTTATAAAATTGAAAAGCACTAGGCGCTATTAAGAGTGAACAGTACTGAATTATTTTCTCTAAACGAAGTAATCTGAATTCGTAGGTTCTGTATATTTTTTTTATATAATTTCAGGTCTTTTATGTGAATAAAGAATCCCCGACGTACATCGAGCACGGCAAAAAGTGTGAATTCTTAGTAACGACATTTGACAATTCTTCCGGCCTACTAGAAAGCCCCCTACATTCCCTTCCGCCGAATACAACCTGTCACTACTATTTCCGGGGGCACCCCAAAGAAATCATTTGGATAAGTTTCATCAAATATCACGTGACCAATGAACGTTTAACCGATTTCAATACCGGCGAGTGTGACGTCCAATTACAAATATGGGACGGCGACATCAAGTCGTCTACGGTCCCTCTGATTGGTCAGTTCTGCAAAGACGACAAACCCAAACTCTGTGACCACTCACTATTAAAAAACTCGTCACGTTTGACTCGTCCTTGCGGATTATCAGAAAGCTACATCTCGTCAGGCTCTGATTTAACAATTGCACATTCAATTAGATATGGCAGTGTTTTGTATCCGGTCAGTTTTGTGCTCCGGTACGAGTTTGTCGATTTATCGCAAGAGGGCGTGCAGATCTCCCGGAATCCTTGTGACCGGATGTTGAAAGAAGCAACCGGGAGGTTTTACTCGCCCAAAATAACGTTTTTATATGGAAGAGGAGGCCAGGAGGACCTGACGTGCAGTTACCACTTCGAATCAGATGAACAACAAAGACTAAAAATCACATTTTTAAAGGCCGGTTTTGGGAGTAAGGAATGTGTCTCGGTTTATAACCCTGAGATAGGGCGATGGGTTTGCGGGATAAAGTCCTACGGGAACGGGTTTGCTAATTTGAAGATTTATGAATATCCCTGGTCCGGAGTGGAGATCCTTAGGGATTGTCTTTGTGGTAATTTCTCCGAACCTTTGACGCTAATTACGAAAACTGCCAGGAAAGTCGTGGTGAAATTCACCGTAAATGGGATGAAAATTACCGAGGATTACAGGAATTACTTCTTTGAGGCCAATTATGAATTTGTATCGAGTCAGAGCGACGGCAATTGTTTAAATCCGTGGAAAAGTCGGCGCTTGAAAGGCTCCAGTGGGGAAATTTCTGTGCGGAACAACGCCCAAACTTTGAAACAAAACGAACAGAGCTACCAACAGAATCAATCAAACGCGTACTGTCTGCACCAACCGTGGCTCATCGAACCGGAAGACTCCCTCAGCAATTTCATATATTTGAAAATCAAAGGAGTCAACAAAAGAGATTCGCGATTGTGTCCGAGTAAAAACCGGATTTTGGTATACCCGGCCGGGAGGACTGAAGACGTCCGAATTATATGTCCCTATTATGAAAACATCGATGATGTTGTTGAGATGTTTTCCGAGGGTTGGAATCTGTACTCATATCGCAAGATCCAAAATAAGAACTCTCGGAGTTTTATAATTGAATTTTTGCAACGAGAAATTGGCAACTTTGCAGTGACTTGGATGGAAATCTCCAAAAACCCAGCTCTAACTCTACCCAGCACCATGCTAATGATGAATCCACCCGACTGCCCCCACAGGTAAAGTGTTTCCATTTCACATTTAAACATCTCCTATAGCCCAGTCAAATTAGACAAAAATAGGGCGATCGGTGGAAAAAATCCTAGAGTTGATTTTTTTTTTAAACGGTTTCTTTATTCTTGGGTAGACATATATAAAAAGTCCCCGAAGGTGGCGGGCTAAAGGTGTCTTTTTTTGGTTTTTTGCTTATATCTGGGAAACTATTACTCCTAACCCTAACGATTTTTGCCTGATTATCAAAATTAAAGCCTACAAAATTTCTTACAAAAATGGTCCTTTGAATTTTTGTTGTAGGACTAACTGTAAGCGAGTTATACCGGATGGGGCATCCGTTACGCCCAAAAAGAAAATCCCCACTTCTAATTAAATAAAATCGTTGAATTTTTTCACACTTACCTGGGCATTAGTAAGGTACATTCTCTAATTTTTTGGTAATTTTTCATTCACAAACAAAGCCAAAAAAAAATAAAAGTAATTTTCTTCCAAAAAAATTAATTCTAATTTTTATACTGACCAACGCAGATTCACTTCCTACAATTGTTTACAAAATTAGAAAAAAAATACCAATTATTTTTTGAATTAAACGAAATTTTCCATCTTAACTTTGAAAATCATTTTTATTTATGACCTGCTACTTGTACCATCGTAAATTTAGGTGACAATGGGGAACTGCAGTTTGGGTAAGATTTCAAGGTTTACAACAAAAAGACCCTTTAAAGCGGTCGGCTACCAGTAAATGATTCTTTTGTTGGCAAATTATACAATTTTGTCATAAATCACGGGTCTAGTTTGTGTTTAAATAAAAAAAAGCGATTATTTGGCTAACCAAGTCAAAATTTGAAATTGTGATATCAAAGTTTGATACGCTGACAGGTACAGATAATTTAGTGTAAAAACTTTATAGGTAAATTAACAGAAAGTATTCATAAAACACACAAAACTGTTACGGACTCATTTATTATCCAAAAAAATTTGAAAAATTCTCAAATTATACCCTATCAATAATTAGTTAGGTATATGAAATATCGCCAGTTTTAATTAATTTGAAGTCGCGATTTATCAAGTGCGCGTAACCAATGCCCCACCCGGTAGGGCTGACAGAAAACATCATTTAAAAAAATGTGCTTTATCCGCATTTAAAACAGAATTGATTTTGTGATTTGAAAAAACTGAAAGCAAATTGAATTTATTGAATGCAACATTTCATCAGAGAGTCTATAAAGTCTTCTGAGTCGTTCTTATATGCTGCATCTTCGTCTTCAACTTAAACATTGAAAACCAAATTACAGTCTTATTCAGTACAATATTAATAGATAGATGATTTAATATCGATGATTTGAATAAAGATTACAGTAAATTGAATGTATTGGATCCAACAGTTTATTAGAAGGTGCCACGAGGGTCTTCCGAGTCATCCTTATATGCTGAACTAGCATTTGCCTGCGACTTTGTCCGCCTGTATTTCTGATATAAAATGGGAAAAAGCCCGTTCACAAAACCATTCCGTAGGCTTAGGTACTCTATAAAGCTAGATAATTACCTATGTTATATATAGGATTCAGTTATAATAGTCTCGTTCTTCTTCGCATGGGCTATGTTTATGGATAAATATTAAATATTGATTTTCATAAAATGTCGTCTTAGTGCACTTCTGCACTCTCAAAATTCGAAATTTCATGTTTCTAATTTTGTTTTTAAGCGTTTAAACTCTATTTTATTTTCTTAGAATTTAAAAAGTGCACTTCTACACTCTCTAAGGATCATATTTTCTAAATTTAATGTTTTTATATCCCTTTAAATGTGTACACCGTTGTATTCCTTTAAAAACTAATTTACGAAAAATCTGATTTTAGTGCCCCTTTACACCTCTAAAGAATTTTATGTTTATATCTTTGTTTGAACATTTACACCCCATTTAACCCCCTTACAGATTGATTCTCTCTTTCATCCAAAATTTTTATTTAAATCTCCGTTTAAATGTTTACACCCGAGTCACCTTTCAGGCAGACCAGCTTAGCTTAGTTGAAGAACGCTTTACACATATAAATACTTACCATATACTAATGAAATGTGTTGCAAAGGATTTTTAATGCAATTTTATGTGAACTCCAAACTTTCGAAGCCTACTGTTAGTCCTACGACAAAAATGAATAGGACCATTTTTGTAGGAAATTTTGAGGCAGAAATAGACTTCTACAGAAAATTCTGCATAAATTACATAAACGATGAGTTTGTATTTATACACCCTCGTGACTCCCCCTTCCTTTAATGAAGTATTGGACCCAGTAAATTCAATTTACTGTCAGTTTTTTTTTTTAAATTACAAGACTAATTCTGTTTTAAATGCAGATAAAGCACATTTTTTTAATTGATGTTTTTTGTCTGCCCTATAACTCGCTTACGGTTAGTCCTACAACAAAAATGCAAAGAACCATTTTTATAGGAAATTTTGTAAGCTTTGATTTTGATAAGAAGATAAAAATCTATAGGAGTGATAATTT